CACAGTCCCTGGAGCTCGAACTCTGACTTGACCATTGTTGTCAGCTATCTCTGGCCGCGGGATCCCCTATCAGAGTGCTCATCTGAGTTCATGTTTTGCTAGCTGCCTCCCAGACACTTCGCCCTGGGGTGGCACCCAGGCAAGGGGAAATGTGCCACCGTAAGCGAGTCATTAAATTCGTCAAGGATCATGATCTTCGTTGTGACTGGCCGGCATATCTGATATCAGACCTAGGTCCCAACCCCAGTGGTCGTACTATTTGCGCAGGATATGCCTATCGCCCCGGCGAAACTCGTGCTATCTGACCCCGTCATATACACAAGAGAAGGCGAAATGGAGATAACCGGCATATATCAGCCTTGGTGTCCTTCTTCTGATCTCCCTTGTATGCTAGCCTTGCTCAAGAGATTCTTTTCACTTCATAAAATAGCAGAAGATGGCGGCGTCGCGTAATGCAGATGACAAGAAAGACCCTCTTCCGGGTGCCGACACGACTGAGTCTCCGCCGGATGCTGGCGTCTCTGAACTCATCAACGCCTCCGGTCACGTACAAGAGCTCGAGAGAAACTTCAATCTCCTCTCAGCCGCGGGTGTTGGTCTCGTCGTCGGAAGTGCGTTGACGACTCTTTCCGTGGTGATCAACGAGACTGACCGTCACATAGATGTATGGCCCGCTGTGGGAGGATCAATCCTGCTCGCCATCTTCAATGGCGGTCCGCCTGGGGTCATCTACGAGTTCATCGCGGTTTCCGTCTTCTATTGGATAATCGCAGCCAGTCTGGCTGAATTGGCCTCGGCCATTCCCTCCAGCGCCGGAGTGGTGAGTGTTGATCTGAAATCTGTGCCAATTTGATCGAGTCTTCGCGTCTAGTTCTCCCCAGACACGCTCGTAATGCTAACAACAATCCAGTACCACTGGGCCTCGGTGACCCCCGGTAAAAGTTGGGGTCGCATTATTGGGTACCCACGCTCCTCCTCGACAGGGTCTTTGATATGTCCGTTACTAATATTGATATCAGCTTCTATGCTGGATATTGGAATTGGTTGGCGTGGGTATTTGGGGCAGCATCGATGAGTTCCATCCTTGGTTTGTCGCTTTCCCTACCTCTTGCACCACATGCTCACGTCTTCAGCAAACACCTTTGTGCAGATGTATGCCCTCGAACACCCAGACCTGGAAGTACAGCGCTGGCACGTCTTCGTCACTTACCTGGTGAGAGAACGCAGTCCCTTGAAAACAATATTGTCTCGATGCGACGTTATTGCTGACCAGCTTTAGATCGTGACCTGGCTTGGCTGCTTGTCTGTCTGTTTCTTCAATCGCGCCATGCCTTACCTGAATACCATCGGCATCATCCTCATCTTGGTAGGGCTTTTAGTGACGGTGATTGTTGTGTAAGAGGACTTAGGAATTCGTGACGACCGAAGACATTGACCCGCTTTAGTGCCGCCATACCTGGCTCGGGCAGTCATCCACCACATGCTTCCTCCAGCTTCGTTTGGTCCGAATGGAGTGCGGATATAGGGTATCCAAATGGGTGAGTTCTGGAAGTCCTGGAAGGCTCGAAAGCGCTGACAAAATGATCTCCCCAGGTTTGTCTTCGTCGCGGGAATGCTCAATGGAGCGTACTCGGTTGGTACGCCCGATGCCGTAAGGTATGATGAGATTTTCCGCCTAACAACCTAGACTTCAAAGTACTGATCGTGTTCCTGACAGCCATATTGCCGAAGAGGTTCCGAATCCTGGCAGGAATATTCCGATCGCCATCGGGCTTCAAATGGGCATTGGGTTCATCACAGGACTCGTCTATATCATAGCCATTGTAAGTGCGGTTGTCAATCTTTGCTCAGTGTCGAAAGAGTTAGAGGCTGTTCATTTCGAACAGCCTAACTGTAAAAGAATTGTCGTGATGTCTCTGCCCGCCACCATGCTAATTCAACGCGATCACTAGATGTATGCCATCAGCGACTACGACGGGCTCTTCAATGCAGGTTTTCCGCTTGCCGAGATATATCGTCAGGCCACGGGCTCAGCTGGTGGTGCTATCGGCTTGCTGATCCCCTTCCTCTTGTGCATAACGACATGCCTGGTGGGCGTATACATCACGGCGGGCCGAACACTGTGGACGTTGGGGCGAGACAAGGCAACTCCTTTCCCCAAATACGTCAGCAAGGTGTCACCTAGATTTGGGATGCCGCTCATTGCGACGCTGACGTGCGGCTGTCTTGTGACCGTTCTCGGATGGTAAGTCGTAGATCACCTCGCTCGGCAGAATGTTGACCATAGTGCAGCATCTATGTTGGGAGTGCCACAGCCTTCAATGCGTTCGTTGGCTCGTTCGTACTGATGTCTTCAGCAAGGTGATTGCCCTTGTACTGATATTTGCGGGAAGAGTTGACAGAAGAATAGTTACATCGCAGCGATACTCCCTCACCTCTTGACCCGCCGCAAGAACATTGTATTTGGGCCGTTCACCTTGGGCAAATTCGGCACCGTTCTGAATTCTGTTGCCTGCGGATACATGATCGTCTGGTTCGTCATCTACTGTTTCCCATTCGCTCTTCCGACGAATGCCGAGAACATGAACTATGCATGCCTAATTTGGGGCGGATTGACTGTCTTTGTAACAGTCTGGTGGTTGATAGGCGCGAGAAAGGGATATGTCGGACCTAAGCTGGCTGGCGGCATCGACTCTGCAGTTGAGCATATGAGGAAGCCAAGTGTAGAGAAGCGTGCTTCAGCATAGATTTGCGTTTAGGTGATGTTCGGCTGCAGCAATGTAGGCTCTCGGGCTCAAACCGAACCCACATGTAAGAAATGCAGGGTTGGTTGAGAAGGGTGGTAGGGAACGTGTATTGAATATAGCAGGTCGGTCTTGCCTTCGGCCATCGCCATCAAGGAATAATTGTGTCGGTGTGGTCAACTCAAGATTTTTCTCTGGTGATGGGGGTGTAGTGCACTCTGGACCTGTTCTTGCTATTGACCGTCATCAACCCAAAGCGGGAGTTGCATGCCAAGAACCGAGACGGTTAAATATCGGTAGTATCATGTCACGTGTAAGACTTGGCAGCATTAGCGCGAAAAGACTATCCCACAAACCTCGAAATCGCATGGCGGTACACACCTCGAACATTGCATTGACACCCGCAACACCACGTCCCTAACGCCGAATCGCAACCATGTCGGACAACGGCGAGGTCGAGGTTGAGAACCCAGTCAGCAGCTGGCCAGTGCTGCCCAAAGATGTCACCGCAGAACTCGGCAGCATCAAGCTGTTCAACAGTGCGTCGTCTGGCTAATATCCGTGTGGGCTGGCGACAAAGGCTAACGCACGAGTTTAGAATGGAGTTACGAGGACGTTGAAGTCAGAGACATCTCATTGACGTGCGCCGCGGTCGACTTCTCACGAGTGTTCGAAAACTGATCATTTTTGTAGCGACTACATCCAAATCCGATCACCCGTCTACATCTCCCACTCCGCCGGTCGTTATGCCGCGAAGCGATTCCGAAAGGCGCAATGCCCGATCATCGAGCGGTTGACCAATTCTCTGATGATGAACGGTCGCAATAACGGCAAGAAGTTGATGGCTATCCGAATTGTGGCGCATGCTTTCGAGATTGTAGGTTATGCGGCGAGCAAGAGAAGACAGGCCTGGAAAGAACTGATAGTTATCTCTAGATCCACATCATGACCGACCAGAACCCTATCCAAATCGCCGTTGATGCCATCGTCAACTGCGGTCCCCGTGAAGACAGCACCAGAATTGGAAGCGCCGGTACTGTCCGAAGACAAGCCGTCGATGTCTCCCCTCTTCGTCGTGTCAACCAGGCCATTGCCCTTCTCACCATCGGTGCCCGCGAGGCTGCTTTCCGAAACGTCAAGAGCATCGCTGAATGCCTTGCTGAGGAGCTGATCAACGCTGCGAAGGGAAGCAGCAACTCCTACGCCATCAAGAAGAAGGATGAGTTGGAGCGTGTCGCCAAGAGCAATCGGTAAAGCTATCACTGGAATATGGTGTTGTTGGTATCGGACATGGAGCGCCTTACATCTGCGACCGTCGACTGTGACACGTGGATGGTTCAGTTGGTGATCGGTTCCAATCAGAAGAGCTGCGAGGCAAGGCAGATGCATAACTGGTAGTCAGGACCAGCGATTCGGCGCACAGTTAAGACCGAATTTTACTGAATCCAAAAATGGCATGAACTTGAAACACTTTCGACTAAACGAGTCTGCAAGAGATACTGACGCATTCCCCCGGAACCTTGGCGCATTTTCCTGCCGCCGACAAAGCTAATGCGATGAGTAGAGTATCAGTTCTCTGGTCTGGACTACTATGAGAAGGCATGTTAATTTCGTGACCGCTGCATCATCATGGGATGAGTATGAAGTGGACTCTCATCAGGTTTCCAATGCGAGCCACGCAGGCGGGAGGAAGCAGCATGTATGAGGTACATTCATGACAATATCGACCGGATTTACAGGCGAATTTGACCTCCAATCTTCAGAATTTCACATATCCTCCGTCAATTCCTATCTACCTGAACCGTGTATCTATTTTCCTCTCGCGCCAACATCCCATATCCAGAGTCAGCAATGCTCGAGCTGAGCCGGGGCTGTGTTATTTTGCTGATGGGAAACCCCAAAGTGTAGAAGCCAGTTGATCGTCGTCGGCTACTGATAGGTGGCAAGTTGTTTCATTCGTCAACGATTGTCAGTTTTGTCATCGTTTCCATCACCGACAGCAACCCTCCTCCTATCCCGCGAGACTTCGTCAGATCACCCAAATATGTGATCCAGTGATGATCATCCCGGTGCCTGCGGCTTCTCTCCTCCCGCACGTGCACGACAGATTGTGCTGACTTGCGGGCGTCTGCTAGGAAGACCCTGTGGGTTGGGTCGATTGCTGGTGAGTTCTGCCTGATTTCCTACCCTGGAGGCCAATGTCATATCTCATGTCCCTGCCGATATGGCGGTCTCCTGTCCCCGAACGCTTCCATCATGTTCCTTTCGCGCACTTCCCTCATATATGCCATTTGCTCTGGTTTCTTCTGGTTGAAATTATCGGCTGCGGGATCTGCTTTGCCGAACAGTCTTTGGGTTGCGAATCCTACGACAACGGAAGCCGCAGCTGCTATTATGACGATCAAGACGATCAATGTATCGGAGAGAGCAGCCATCGCGGTCGCGGTCGCGGTACTGTATGTGCAGTGTGAAGTTGGCGGGAGTGTTCTTAAGGTTTGAACGATACTTGCGCCGGCGAGAGCGGCCTCCTGGTAGTGAACTGGGTTGGTAAAAGAATGTGAACTCCTCCGTTTCGACGGCGATGACCAAGAGCAAGTGAGGAAGAGAAGTCAACTGGCAGGTTCCTGCAGTCGAGCATGGGTACATATACCCGACCAAGTATACCGCTAATTGCATGGAACCAAATGGATCCTTGTGTATTGAGAAAGCGCGGCGACACTCCCCAATGTAACACGCGAGACAAGCCACCGGACGTGGATTTCTCGACCCTCGGAGCCGTGCCATGACTGCGCGGACTCAGACTAAAGGCTTTCGATGTCACTGCCGACTACGAATGCTGCATCAGTTCAAAGTCGATATGAATGTCCCGAAATAGAAAGGCGCACAACAGCCACGCTAACCGCATTGTAACACTTTGGCGAACGAGTCCAATCAATCGACATGGACAATATACTCGAGCTCCACTGACCGTCGCGGACAACACCCCTGGAACGAAGCTTGATTGCTCATTCCGACCGAGGAATCTGGGTCGCAGGATGATTGCTCTGCCAAGCACATTGAGGCAAAGATGGAAGAATCTGACGAGAATGTTCACTCCCAAAATTGACGACTGCCTTCAATTCCCGCGGAAGTCACCCAGTCAGACGCGTGGTTACGGTGGACAGGATCTGGATCTCGGTCTTTGCTTGTCCTTTTCGATACGGGACCACCGCCTGGAGAAGCGTCGATATTCATGACGGAAAGCCGACTTCATGCGTGCTGGCAGATCTGGGAGGGAACGCTCCAAATACGGGTGCCTAACCTGCAAGTGAGTTTTAAGCCATAGGACCGCGAGCTAACATGCTGATATGCCTCAGAATTCGTAAGTTCTAGTCTCATATTTTTGCGGACGGTCAAGACATCATCCGCCAGTACAGCTACCATCTGACGTACGGTCTGATGATCGTATAGGGAGAGTGAAATGCGACCAGACACGGCCCCAGTGCAGAAGGTGTGTTTGATGCGAAGAATCAGGTCACCCTATCGCTTATTCGTTACTCCGCTAGGTGTCTAGACACTGGTAGGAAATGCGAAGGTCCGGTAACTCGACGGATTCAGTTCGTTGGCGATGCATCTGCCACACAGAGCGACACAGTCCTCTTGCCGGAGGTAAACCTCTTCGCGCCGCAGCATAACGATGACGAAAGATGGGCTTTCAATTATTTCCTCCATCGTGCTGCACCGATCTTCGCGGGTGTCGTCGATGGCCCCTTCTGGCTAGATTTGGTCCCCCGCCTTGCTCAATCTCATGCCTTTGTTTGGAATGTGGTGATTTCCTCCAGCTGGATGTTCGAGCACGTGCAATACAGTGGCCTCGAGACTGCCTACACACCTTGTGATACCAGTACCGTTACCGACAAAGAGCACCGAAAGGCGCTGAAATGGTACCAAAGAGCCCTCATTGACTTCCGTCGGCTTCTCGAGCGAGGGGAGGCGGACAACGGTTATATTCTCCTGAGTTGCATCCTCTTCGCTGGTCTAGAATTTCAGCAGTGAGTCATCCGGAACATCCATCAGTGCCTTATTCGGAGACTTTTTGATCTCTGTCGCACTGAGACTGTTTTAACGTTGACGAAATACAGGAGGCAAGTGGGCAACGCATGGCGTCTCATAGATACTGCGTTTGTACTCCTCGACCAGAATCTCTCCATGTCCCAGACACAGATGTCGAAGCTGAAGGACCCGACTCTTTACGAATTCGTCACTGCTTTCTTTTCGCGCAAAGCGGTCCTGATGGGACCGCTTGGAAGACCGATACCGCTCGAATGGAACATCCATCCGGCAAAGGAGACGTTGCTGCCTTCGATGAAGTCCTCTCTGGCTGTACTCAAGGAGGCTAAGGCGCATTTGGAAAGCCTTATGTACCAAGCTTACGAAGTCGTGCGGGTGGGTCATTTGTTATACCACGATGGCTATGAAATGCAAAAGTTGAAGCCCAGACAAGAACTTCAACTCAAAGCGGTGCAACAATGGAAGGACATGTTCCATCAGCTGTGCATAGATGGGCAGTTTAGTGAGATGGGCTGCATCGTGTCGACTCTCTTTATGTACTGGAGGATGTGCTACATTTGGCTGGCCGCCTGCACCAGTCCCCTGCAGACGTCTTTCGACAAACATATGGACGATTTCGAAGCCATCGTTGACAACGCCCAAGTCGTTCTTCAGTGCAATGCTGCATCGAGCAAAGAAGGCCAAGTATTCACATCTGATGGCGACGTTGTCCCACCTCTTCTGCTCACGGCCACCAAGTGTCGCGATCCGATTCTGCGACGGAAGGCTTTGCAGCTACTCAGGCAGGCGCCGTACCGCAATGGCTTGTGGTCTTCGGTAGCATCGCCTAGCCTTGTCGAGAAAATGATCGCTGTCGAAGAAGGCGACACGCACTTCTCAACATATCCTGTTCCTTCGCCACCGGTCTGTCTACCGCCCGAAGAGCGACGAATACATCACTATGCCATCGTCAAAGGTGGGGCCAGTGATGGTCATCGCCGCCTCAAAGCTCAGCTGACTAAGGCTGCACTTGACACAAACGGCTCGTTGAGAATGGTGCATGAAGAGGTGTGGGTGGAGGAACGGACAGAGAACTTGCCTTGAGGCCCGCATGGCAATTTCTGTGCGAGCAATAGCTCCAGACTGGAAAACGACCCTTCAGCGTGGAGTTCCCATCAGGAAACCAAGCTGCCTCACCGCGATGCTCATTCAACCCCGGCAGCATGACATCGAATGAACCACACGGCCCCCATACCACATTTTGCGTGGGGTAAGCTGGCACAGGCCATAACAGCCACGAGCGGGCCTTCATAGGTACCCTTCGAAAAGTCCGGATTGGGTCTCGGATTCAGCCACTAACTCGGAGGATCCTCCCACTTCTGCCATGCAATTACACCGCATCTCAATCCGGCAAGTCGGTCACTCGGCGAGCATTCTCTGTACGGATCATCAGCAATGATTGTACGAAGCCAAAGACCAGGTGGACCGGGAGCTCTTGCATGCTGCTACAAACACGTACGTGCAAGCCAGTAAGCATCTCCGAATCCCAGACTGGCCTCTTTGCAGAAGCTCGAACAAATAATAACCCAGCTGAAGTACTAAGCTGAAGGAATGAGTTTGACCCCAGTCTTCCGAATATTTTGGCTATCCAAGGCTCGGCGGTACGAAGCGATAGACCACCTCGGCTGTCACCCTCCGAATCACTACGTAGGTGACGAGGATGCCATCGAGCCAAACATCATAATGGCTATCGGCTATAACTGTCTGGGCCGAAGGAGGCGAGTATACGGAGTACCAAACACTTTACTACTAGCTAGGTAGAGTCAACCTTGAAAGATGAAGCGCGACGCGAACAGAGTACAGGGTGATAACGGGTTTAGTTGTAATGACAAGTCTGCCGCAGGCTTCGTGCCTGCTTTGTGCTGCTTCTACGAGTATGTGATGGTCTCCGTCAGACTTGACTCCTTTCGGCTCGGCTTGATCTAATCAAGATAAGATCCAATATCCCCCAAAAAAGTTCCAGACCTTTCAGTTTTTCTAAACCCCACCGCTGCGTTGCTTGCATCCGTCCACGCCCTACGCAAGCAATCAAGCAACAAAGCAAGCAACCAAAAGGAGGAACTCATTCAGCGAGGCCGCGAACATGGGCAAGCGCAAACTCGGAGCCCTCGAAAAGGTCGACGCCGACCTCGCGAACCTGCAAAATAAAATCAAACGAGATCCTCAATCCTACCACGCCGACTTCCTCCACCAGTACATCCAGTATGAGAATCAGAGACAGATATTCCTGCAGGCGCCTACATCCGCGACGGACGGCGGACTCATATCCTTCCGCGAGTTGATCGACTTTGTCGCGCACGTGGCGAACTGTTACAAGGAGGAGACGAAGGAATTCCCGCGCCAGTTGGTCGAGATCCTGTCGGTGCATCATGCGCGGTTGGAGAGTGAGTTGCGGGAAAAGATCGTGGGGAGTCTGGTGCTGTTGAGGAAAAAGGAGATCATCGACTCGAATACCCTACTTCAGTGTTTCTTCCCGGTCTTGACGAGCACGCCGAGCAAGTCACTTAGGGCGTTGCTGTTTCAGAAGATCCTGAGCGATCTACGGGGTGCGAATGCGAAGACCACGAACCACAAGTTGAACAGGAGTGTGCAGACGACATTGCATCATCTTGTAACGGAGGATCGTGCGTCGTCGAAGGCGCTGTGGGCGGTCAAGATTACGAGGGAGATGTGGAAGAGGCAGATCTGGACAGACGCAAAGGCCGCGGAGATCATGAAGGAGGCGGCGCTGGCCGATAATGAGAAGTGCATTGTTGGAGGGGTCCGCTTCTTTCTGGGTGGGGACAAAGAGCGAGAAGAACTCGAAGACGACAGTTCGGACGACGACGTTGCCATTGATATGGGCAAACTACGGCATCAGGTGGGCGTCAACAAGAAGAGCAAGAAGGCTGAGCGGAGGCTTGAGAAGGCCGCCGCGACGGTCAAGAAGAAGGAAAAGAAGAAGAGTCAGCCCCATCCGTTGAACTTCTCGGCCTTGCACTTGTTGCATGATCCGCAGGGCTTCGCGGAGACGTTGTTCTCAAAGCATCTGCAGAACACAAAGTCGAAGTTGAATCTGGAGCAAAAGCTGCTCGTCTTGCAACTTGCGTCACGGTTGATCGGCCTGCACAAGTTGACTGTGATAAGCTTTTACTCCTATTTCCTGAAATATCTCACACCTCGACAGCCGTCCGTCACATCGTTTCTGGCATCCCTGGCGCAGTCGACGCACAATCTGGTGCCGCCGGATATACTGGAGCCATTGGTGCAGAAGATTGCAAATGAGTTTGTTTCCGAAGCCGCTGCTGGAGAGGTGGCGGCAGCCGGGATCAACGCTATTCGAGAGATCTGTGTGCGACAGCCTCTGGCGATGAATGATACCCTGTTGCAGGATCTGGTTATGTATAAGAAGAGCAAGGACAAGGGAGTCATGATGGCGGCCAAGGGTCTGTTGGGCCTATACAGGCAAGTTGGTGCTGAGATGCTTAGAAAGAAAGACCGTGGCAGGGATGCTACGCTTGGCCTGAAATCTGGTGAGCAGAAACAGCAGCGATTTGGTGAGGAAGCAGTCGGAGAGATTGAAGGCCTGGACCTCCTTGAGAAATGGAAGGAGGAGGAGCGACAAAGAAAGAGACTTGAGAAAGGTCTTCCCGCAGATGGCTCTGACGACGGCGATGAGGATGACGATGAAGAAGACTGGAATGCCTGGAATATTCAAGAAGATGAAGACAGCGATGACTCCGGTGGGTGGATCAACGTCGAGAGCGACGAAGAGATCAATATCAGTGACAGCGAGGACGAGCAACCGGCCGCCAAGAAGGTGCGGTTTGAAGCTCAAGTGTCGGATGACAAAGAGAATGGAGTCGTCGAGAAACCCGTTGAAGGAGAAGAAGCCACGGCGCAATCGAAGACCAACCTTGCCACGACTCGCATTCTGACACCAGCCGACCTTGCGAAGTTGCAAGAACTTCGCGCGACAGCCTCAATATCATCGCTGATGAAGAAAACCCATCACGCCTCACAGACGACGCAACAGACGAATTCCCAGCGCCATGTGGACGACCCCTTGACGGCCGCCGAGATCGAAGGCTTAGCATCTCTCTCCCGAGGCAAAGCGACCCGTGCTCAGAAATTGGCCTTGCTACAAGAACACAAAGCAGATCGTGAGGAGCATAAATCCAAGGCGGCGAGGAAGAAGGAGCGCAAAGAATCCGAGGGCAAAAGCACGACGAACAAGGAGAAGGCGCGGAAGAAGAACTTCCTCATGACGTTGGGCAAGGCCAAGTCGAAGGGCAAGAGAAGTCTTGTTGAGCATCGCAAGATTTTGAAAGCGCATGCTGAGAGAGGAAAAAAGGGCGGGAGGAGAGGCAATCGAGGGTAGATCTGTGTCCTCGCCCTGGACGTCTTTCTTCAGAAGATTGCAGACCTCGTCCTGTTGCAGTCTACTGAGTACGGAGTACCCGGTACTCCTTACGCACACAGGTGTGTTGAGCTGCAATCTCCTCCCAACCATTTTCCTGCGGTCAGCCTGCTCGTCCAGCCACGACGACCCCGCCCAATTAAACGCCAACGCGCAAAAATGGGAAGCCTCGCGTCAGTTTCGTGTCATCCTGCAGGATTCTCAGGGACAGGGAACACGAGTTCGGCGCTTGAGGGCTGTTGGCCAATCGTGAGGCTCAGTCCGTGCCCAGCCCCGGACTTTCCAGGTGAGAGTCCGCAGCCGAAGAGTGAAACTGACACCGCTAGCGGCGGGAGCAGGGCCACTATTAATACCGCCGTGCATGAATTCTAGGGACGCCCGGGGGGCTGGGGCTGCGCTGACTGGCTGGCTGCTGATTTTCAGGCCAACGCAAAAGCTGAGCAAGGACAAAGTGAGGAAAGCGTGTGGCTTTTTTGACGGTTCCTCGTCTCTTGCCTCTCGTCGCTCGCTTGAGGATCCAGTCGCTCCGGAAACTTGATAAGGATAAGGGATTGACTGCCCATCCCGCAGGACGCTCCCATTTCCTAGCCAGTGTTATTCTGCAAGATCCAATCGTTGCCATACGGCGTGACTTGCCGGACTCCAGAGTTCAGAAGTGCATCCCTCGTTTAATTTTATCGGACCACGCCTTCTTGAGCTTCCTCCTTGACCAGCTCCTTCTCCCTTTTATTGCCCAGCTCTCTTACTCTCACTTCCACGCTGACTCTCAGACACAACTTCGACTCACTTGATACAACTCAGTTCAGAGCATCAATATTTCGACCTTTGACCCTGCTATTAACTTAGTACGGCAACCTATTCATCGTCCTCGCATTCGCTTCACAACCTCGTCACTCGCGATTGACACAGCACGACCCGCTGCATTTTCATATTCTCCTCTGTGAGCATCTGTAGCTCATTCCTCACTCGTTCGACTCTCAAAACACACTATTACGCTCCCTACCACCAGAATCATGATGGACGTCGTGCAAGACTTTTCTGTTCCGGTCCCCTCGATTGAGTCAGACTCGCCTCTTTCCAAGCGACGTCGATTCGCTCCCATATCCCTGCCTCCCCTGATCCCGGTCTCCAACAACTCGGACATCGAGCACCATACCTTTGACTCGCCACTGCTCTTGCAGCTTTGCGAACAAGCGCCAGACCAGGCAGAGATCGAGGCAGGCCTTCTCCAGGTCGGCATGAGGGTCAGACAATCGGTCGCGGAAGGATATAAGACTCAGCAAAAGAAGTTTACTCCTCGCCCCTTCTTCGACGCAAGGCGGCTTTCCCCCGAGACTCAGGCTGCGCTTGCGGGCGGCCAGTCGACCAGCACGGACGAGCCCGCCCCTTTTGGTGCTGCGTCCCAAAATCTAAACACTGCTACCTTTTGCGGCATCAACCTCGCCTTTCTTTCTCACTATGGTGATGATTGGGCCACCCCATCCGTCTCCCAACAATCCCTCTGGTCTTATTCTACCAGCCACAAGCGCTCATATGAGGCCGACTCAGACAGCGACGAGAGCCAGGACTGGCAACCTCACACCCCCAGCCTCGTTGCGGATGCAGCAATGCACCTGCCGGTCGATTATTTCACCATCGACATGGACAACATGAGTGATGTCAACCCCATGGCTCAGATTGGCGATCACACTAGGCAGCATTTTAACGGTCGACGCATGGCCATGCCCAAGTCCCGCAGTCGGTTCCACCAGAAGGCCGAGCCGCAAATGCCCCCTACCTCCACGGTCAATCCTTTTGCGAATTTCGCCGCTCCACAAGCCGGAGCTTTTTTTGACGGACATTTTGGCCACAAGCGAATGATGAGTTGCGGTATGGAGGCCGCCGCGGATTTTGGCGAAGCTCCTTTCTTACAGCGACGCGAGGATGTCGAGATGGACTGCTCTTGAACAGCCCATGACACCAGTTTGAATCAAACATTTTACATTTTGCCGTTGGGGGTGGTTTACGCATGGGATCGATTTTATGAATTCAGAAAGCGTCGAGCCCACTTGAGGCGGCACTCGACGCGAACCGCGACACGACCTGAAGATGCATTTGACTTTGTGGGTTCGACGAAGCGCGGGAGGGGCGCGAGAGCTGAACGGTGAACAAGCACGCTTCCGGGAAATTATTGTACATTATGGCGTTATGTGAAAAGGGATCATTATTGGAGACACCAGGCACCGAATTTTGTATATCACGGCCGCCCTGGATTGCCGGGTTGGAAAAAGCCAGCATTTAGCACAGCTTATATGCCTCTAGCTAATGGAAGAACGGGAGGATTGGCAGTAGTTGGAGAAGACTGCCACGGCATGGAACTCATGGTTATGCTCTGCATGAGAAAAGGATGATGTTGGCTAGATAGTAAAGAAATGAAAGAGTGAAGTGAATCGAGAGGAGTGGACTCTTATTCTTGCCACAATCCCTTCGACGTTGAATGGACCATGCAGAGGACGACATGTACTCCGTACTGAGCGCCACAAGCCTGCAGCTGCCTCGACTAAATACAGGACTCGGCCGAGTACTTGGAAGGTATCGTCCAGCTTAGGGATGTGAGGGCGTGTTGGACATGCAAGTGATGATTTTTACAGAGGATAGAGTACGTAGCACCCAGTACATAGCGAGTGGCCCAGTCAAGCACGGTGGCACTACAGTACGAGTTACCTATTTTCACATTCGAGTAAATGCAACAGTCACTTCCTGGACTCCATACTCCATACTCCGTACTCCGTACTCCCGGACGCGAGTAGTCATGCTGCTCATGCTGCTCATGCTGCTGTGCTGGCATGCCATCCGTCCCATTGTCAATCTACAGTACTGTACGGAGTACTGTGTGCATATGTACTCCGTACTGTGTGCGTAATGTACTGATCCATGGGTTCTACAGTACCTACCAGGTAGGTATCACTGCGACGACAGGGCATGCCTTTTACGGAGTATTGTCATGGTACTGTATATACAGTATCTACCTAGGTACCTAATTAGCACATACTGTGGCACAAACCGTAGCACAGAATATACTGTACTTGTACAGTACAATGTCGAGTACTCCGTACATACGCAGCGCACTGACTCTGTGCCAGCATACGAGACTACGGCTCAGTGTTGGGCTTCCGCAGAGTTGTCACTTCACATACATCACATTACCTACTGTACGTACGTACTCTGGCCTGAGCATTATCCAAGTTGTCTACATAGAGTACGAGGCGTGGGAGCGGCAGCCTGCACCAGCTTGACCAGCAGCCCCCTCTGCCCGTCCTCTACTCGTTTCTCACATACATGTACGTGTCTGCAATTCCCCTTTCATTGCTTGCAGTGCAATGCAATGCAATGTAATCTGGAATGTTCGGGGCATTGTCAAAAAGCAAACCTCCCCGGAGCACTCGCTTGGCTGATCTCCCTCACCGTCCTGACACCACCGAGGCCTGCATTCTCCTTGCCCATCCCGTTGATGACGACAGGTCTCCCCTTGGTCGGACTTCTCCCTCCGGTGTTTTCCTTTCCTACAGCGCCGCTTTCGAGCGATCTCTTCAAGTTGACACTTCGGGCTCGGTCTCGTCGTGCGCGGATCTGCGCAAGCGCGACTTCGCGGCTGATGGGCGTGCCAGGGACGTTGGTGAGCATTGCTTGGGAGGACGAGGCGACAAATGTCGGTCGGGATGCCGACTGGGGATAGGTGATGGTTGATGAGGGAATATTGTCGGTGCAGATGTTGAGGACTTCGGTTTGAGCATGCTCGTGCAGGGTTGATTGGGGACGGTGGTCCGGTTCGAACACGTCGTCTGCTTCTGGGTCACCGCGGAGGGGTACTCTCGTCGTCGTGGTTGTGGCGATGGCTTCAGGTGGGCTTGTCGGTTCACATTCGGTGCCGGTTGGCTGCACCTGCGCTAGAGTATGCATGGATCTTGAGTGCTTGTGTACCGGTGTCATGGGAAAGACGGTGCTTGCCGCCGGCGACGCAGACGTGTCCTTGACGAATGCAGATTGCGTGTCAGATTCATTGTGGTGAGACATCACTGTTGAGGTCACCAAGGGTGAGTGACTTCGAAGATTAGGTTTTGATTGAGCTCGTCTGTGCAAGCTTGTCCGTGGTGGCGAGTCCTTGAGCGCGACCTTGGTGACGGTTGTTGTCGATGATGGTTTAGGTGTGGCCTGGGTTCGACCTCTGGCGGCAGATCGAATGCTATCGCGAGAAGATCTGGCCGACCGAGGTGATTCTGGAACCAAACGTATGGGCGAGTTTGCGCTCAAAATACCCATCGCAGTAGAAGGACGTCTGGGCGGAAGCTGTTTCGGGGGTGATAGGTCGAACAGATCTGCTTCGAGAGCAGCTGAGGCACTCTCTGTGTGCCGCAGAGGTGGAGCCATAGCTCTCAGGTCGGCGTTGCTTGTGGTTGAAGTTGAGAAGGCGAAGGGTTTCGAGCCTGTGGCCGGCTCGACCAGGACTTGTGTGATCTCCTCCAGTTGAGCGGTCGGCTCGGGTGTAATATTGCTCGAGTCCAATTCCATCGGTTCGGGCTCAGGAAGGGGGACTTCCATAGCCTGTTCGAGGACCAAAGGCGATTCCAAAGTTCGATTAGCCAGCTCGGGGGTCGGTTCTGGAGGAAGTCTCGCTGTCTCAGGCATTTTCGACGCGAGCGATTGTGCTTTGGGTATGTCCTTGGACGCGCTTTTCTTGAGCACAACCTCATCTTCTTCCTTCGAGATCTTCCTCTTCTTCGAAACTTGTTGCTGCTGCATCTTTGCATCATAAACCGCGTCATGAACAAATCTCTCACCATTCGATTCTGCCAGCCGGCAAGGGCAAGATTTGAATTGGCACTGCATGTGCATGAGATGGATCAAGTCGGCATCTTCGGTATGCTTCCGCTTTGCCCAGGTGAGTTCTTGTTTCAAGAATTGAATCTCCTCTTCCGGCGCCATCTTGTCGCCTTCCGACTGCTTACTGAAGTAATTCAGATGCGATATCACAGAGGAGAAGTCCGGGACCTTTGGTGCGCGCAGCCGTGGCGGTCTCTCAGTCGTAATGCGGCTCCCCGATGCTGTACTTTGAGAAGATACAGGCCGGTTATCACTTACGCTGTGTGCGTGATGCGCCCATTGACTCTTGATTGCCTCTCTTACCGCCATGACCGACTCGGATCTATCGTCCTCTGCCTCGTTCTGTTTCGGGTCAGTCTCTGCCACGGGAACGGTCTGCATTCCCCTCTCGACGGCGGTGCTCTTCTCAATAGCGTTCTGTTTGGCTTCCACGAGCACAGCATCCCTCTCCCTCTCGACCACCTTCAATCGGTCTTTGACCTGCTCTAATTCTCCTACCGTCCCAGCGAGTGCATACGCCCTCTCAAAACTCTCCTGCCTGGATTTCTCTTTTTCACTCCTCTCATGCTGGACTTCTGCCTGGCATTTCTTTAGCTCTGCCCTCGTTTCCTGAAGGTCCTGTCTAGCTTCCACAACAGCCAACTCAGCCCGGTATGTTTCTTTTCGGCAGCGCTTGATTTCCTTGGTGTATGACTCTTGATCGCGGACTCGCTTCTCCTTATCGGCTTGGAGTTCTTCGAGTAGGTCTTCGACGCGTTGGGAGAGCACTCGTTCGCGCTTCTTGCGGGAGGCGAGTTCTTCTTTGGCGCGCTCGAGTTCGGCGGATAAAGTTGCGAGGCTCGCTTGGGCTTCTTCGTAGCCCATTATGGCTCGCTGGAAAGCTGCATTGCTGCCGTTAGCATCGCTCTTGATGGGTGACAGGCCATTTTCTGAAGGTGCAGCGGCTCTTCTGGGGCGGGTCGGCGAGGATTGGGTGCTGCCATTCGCTAGGCTGTTCAGGAATGCAACTTTCGTCTGGACGTCGGATGTGATAGAGTCGCGCGTGCGTGGACGGTCATGGTCAACGAGATAGCTGTGTAGGGAGGGTGACTGAGGAATTCGTTGCTGGTTCATACGCTCGGGTGATAGTTGGTGTAGAGGCGTTACAGGCGGGGGACACTGAAGGGGGTTTGAACTGAGGTGCGGATTGTGATCTTCCATAGTGTCGTCGACAGCTATTACCGATCCCATAGTGTCTACAGAGTAGAAGCGGTCTTTGTCATAAACTTGTCATGGCCCGGGCTGAGGTCGTACGGATTGCAAGGGTGGCCGCGAAGAGTGCAGGACGCTCCGAAGTTTGATTTATTGTTTACACCCCGAATAGGGAAAGGCGGCCTTGGCAGTGTCATGTGCTGCTTAATCATGTATCGGATTCCCCGGAGTTTACACGAGGACCGCAGTCTCCTCCAGTGCCTCTGCCGCCTCTGCATCCTGAAACAACTCCCCTCTCATAATCCCCTGCATGTACGCCTCGCCGACAAGGACATAATGATCCGATATCGCTGCTGTCGACTCACCCGCGTTACTGTCTGCCATCACCTTTCGAATCACAAAGGGTACATTCGCCCCCCTGAAAACGCAGCAGGCATCTCCCGCCTCAACTTCCCTGTGACCAACGCCATAGTATCCCCTGCTTGTGCGGAAAAAGCGCCGATTGTGCAAAGCTCGACGTTGGTTGCTTCCGCCGTAAGTCAGCGCTTCCAGTTTGATTGAGTTTTGCTCGTCATCCTTGCGCTGAACACTGTTATCTCCTATGTCCTCTTTCGATCCAGGTCTTTGGTCGATATCCGTGCCATCGAGCAGCATCTTATACGCCTGGTAGACAGCACGATGGTGATCGGGGTCATCTTCCGAAGGCCCTTCATCTGCGCCGCGACCTGCGGCAAGAGTGAGGCTGAATGCATATTCTCGATCTTGAGAGCTCGAGCCATATATTGTGTTGTCGTCGTCATGCTGCTGGAGCTCCCTCCAGAGCTGCTGCAGAGGCGCCTTCTCCTTCTGCGGGTCAAGTCGAAGTTCGTCGGAGTCAAATGGTCGGGAGGTCCAGCTGATCGAATCCACTACAATGCCACGCAGGATCAACGAGGATCCAGTTTGTGAAACCTGAGATTCAAAGGCATTTGACTTGGCCCCACCAGCTCGATACCACATTTCCGGATAGCCGAGCCAGTAGACCCGCCAACCTTCGTCCCAACGAGGGACCCAAGAAGGACGTCGACCGGAGAGCGATGGAGAGGCCCGGGTGTGGTCCACGCAGGTCAGCACCGTCCATGGGTATGAATCAGTCTCCAGGACGCGTCTCGCTACGTCCAAGTAGACTTGATCGACAGACAAGCTATAATCAGCGACCACAAGCCTCGTCTGCGCCAGAGGTCCGCACGCGGCACTTGGGTGGCTGAGGAAAGCATACACACGATCTCTTTGGTCTGTGGCTTTATACGCCCGAGCGTCGTTTAGTATGTTGATGAAGCTTGCCTGGCCTTGGCTGCTGTTCAGTGATCGTGTCAGTGGCAGCTCGTTCCTCCACGAGCTGGAATTGCCATAGGATCGCCACAGGTCCTCGTAGAAATCCCAGATCATGCCAGACTTGATATTTCCAACATGTGAGGACACGTCGGCGCGGGAGGCGACAACCAGCATCAGCTCCACCAGATAAGCCCAATTCAGTGAGGATTCCCCATAGAGCACGACTCCTGATCTAGCCAGGCCGATTTCTTGTAGCACCCAGACCCGGCTAAACCACTCAGTGTCCATCAGTCTCTGCACTATTTCCCATTTTTTGGTGTCTGAGCAAATGCGACCGCTCTCCGGCGTGATGGTCGGAATGAGACTAACGCCTCCGTGTTCGGCGATCATGTCAGCAAGGTTGGTGGTTGTGTCGCTGATCAAACTGAAGCACTCTTTCGCTTCATTCCTCAGATCTGGTCCAATCCATACGAGGACCCGGTCCGCGCTGGAATATATCTCACCCATTTGCTGCACCTGATATTGATGTCAGACTTCCAGGACACGTCGCGGATAGCTCTCAGTGCCCACACCGCTCGGGACTTACTTGGTTAGATCGCTCTTCGACATTGCTCTGATCGATACATACAGCGTCCGCCCAGAGATACCTGATCTTGTTCCGCTGGCGTATATGCTTCAGTGCGCAGGCCAGATTCTTTCCGATGCGGATGACTCGACCGTCGCAATTTATTTCAACTGCGTCTGCATCGCCGCCACCCCAGACGTAAGACAATGCCTCAAATTCGGAGGCAGCAGCTGCATCTCGGATCTTTCGAGCTTCCAGGCTGCATGAAAGTCGGTCATCGGCTGATCCGGGATGCAGTATGATGATCCGTGTCCAGCCTTTGGCAGGCAGCGGTGTATATTGGTAGTTCAACTCGAGAGGTGCCGACGCCTCTGCACGAATAACTAACGACAGGTCTGGCACCGTGACTGTCGACATGACTTTCTGAGTTTTGGATGGCAGATGTCAGGCGAGCATGGCTTGGTGAACCTGTGGACAGCGCAGGTCACGGAGTGCGCGCATGGCGATTCTTGCCAGAACTTCGAATAGAACATGTTCTGGTGCTGGCGATGGTCAGGCTGAAATCCCTACCGACACTGCATAAAGGAGAGTCCAGGCTCCTGAACTTTTGGTGCACAGCAGGAGGCTATGCACATCTCGCTTGCATGCGTTTCACCGCTGGGTTGAAGGTGTTGGCGAATCAGAATCCACAATTTCCCGCCGCAGTCAGAAGTCATCGACGAAGCGAGGGGCCCAAATATCGCTTGAGCAGCCTCGCTCGAAGGGTCTCATCCGTCTGACTGAGTAAAGCTCGTTGTAGGCTAAGAGTTAAGAAGCTGGAGCGGAACCCTTGCTGGTGGCAGTGTTGAGACAGCTCAAGGGAGTTAAAGTTCATTTAGAGCTGTCCGGGTTTGCTTCGAACCAAGAGCGATCAAGGGGTATCATGGTCACCTATCCTGTCATACCTATGGAGTACGAGTTACTGTACTGTAGAATCCCCGCTAATCCGTTCGTGAAGTACTCCGTACTGCGTAAGCCTTCCTCGACAAGGTCTTGAATGCTTCCAATGTCTATATTCACCTGTGGGAATTCGTTACTGTAACATCAAACATGCCCTCCAGTGAGTAGATGCGCGTCCCGGTCACCATGGCCTCACGTCTGCCATGAGACCGTGATAAGAAGAATCCGTGACACAGCACCGGATACGTAGTGATGGTAGCGCATCTTGCCCCGTCAGCTTCACCGCAGGAAACTTTCGTACAAACAGAAAAAGAGTATTACACGATAAGAATTTCATATTCAGAAGTCTTACCGCAATCGACCATAGGATGTGGAAAACAGGGCTTCCCGTTCGCTCAGCCGTACTTAAGCCACATGCCGGTCAGTTAGTACTAAGGTGGGTGACCACTTGGGAATCCTGGCTGTTGATTGTTTTTTGCTCATCTACAGAGATGAGAATTGATCCCGGTGAAGAAATTTTACTATATAAATTCTTGAAACTCCGAAGATAAAGTGAACCAACTAGCATGGTGTATGGCCGGCCTGGCCTTTGCTGGGCCCATACACATTACTCCGTACCGCATTTCTTTGCCGCGCACCATCATCGCCTACTTGTAGTCTTCACCGTGTAGTATCACTCACGGTGCCCTCGACATCATGGCTTCAGGCTACCTGATCAACTATCGAACTGGAAGACCCTCTTACCGACGCCGCTGTAGCTATGTTTTAGCCTTCGATGCTTGCTTGCGTATGTACTACTAATCGATCACGAAGCCGCCTCCTCTGTGAGGTCAGACCGCAAGCATAGGTGCTCTGACTTACGGAGGGTGAGAAATCGCGACTCGAGCGCGCTCACGGTCCAAGGTGCCACAATTCCCGATCAGAGGTCATGGACGCCAGACCATCGGAGAGCAACCCTGATAGAAGGGCCTACCTCGATACATCGAAATTGCCCGTTCAGGCATCATTGCTGAAGCGGGCAAGTCCTTCTCCACATGCAGGTTTCCCTGCTGTACAATGCGCACTGGTATCTTCTCCTCAACCAGCCAATGACCACATTATCGGGCGCTATTTACCCCGGTGTTAGTGATTTGTGAGTCTCAGCTCGATAAGTTTCTTCCTTGCCTGAATCGCGTCACCTCTGGGCTCGGGTTGTTCATCACTGGATGGGTCTGGCGGACTGATGACCATTGGGAAAGCCTCCTGTTCAAGTCCCAGGCCAGCCAGAACTCACTAGTGCATATTGTACAGAATAACACATACAGCACCCTCATCGGCAAGGCTGACAAATGCGTCGACCCGAGTGCCTTCTGGATCTGGCTTACTCCGTGTCGCATGGCAAGCCCAGCGAGGCCGACGATTCGTGCACGGAGTCTAACAAAAGTCCAAGGACGGCGCTGTGCTCGGATCCGGACATATCCACACCAGACGTACGGCCTGTGCAGCAGACAAGGACGGAGATTCCTGGATCCATCATGAAGATATAAAGCTAGAGGGAATCCCCGTCTGCAGCGTGCTCCATGCTCCTAAGAGATATTGTAGGTATATCGACCCACGTTCCAATCTGACCCCTTCGTCGGTCCAGAAGGCAGATCACGCGCCTGCCCATTGAGCCCCCTTCTACTTACGGTCTCACGAACATCCGGCCAGCAGATCAGCGAGCCAACCAACCAGCGCGAACACGATCTGACAATCTGAAAATGTCCCATCTCACCTACTTCAACTACCCCGGCTTCGGCGAGCAGTATGCCGACATGTACAGCCAAGCCGTGCGCGTCGGCGACCGCATCGAACTAGCAGGCCAAGGTACGTAACGTAACGTAGTCGTCGTCGTCGTCGTCGCCGTACAACATGCGTTCGTTTGCGACATGATAATCGGGACGCCGAGAGAAAGAGCCGTCCAGAGGCTGCAAGACGCTTAAATCTTTTTTCATTTTGGACTTTGGCATCCTACCCTCCCATTACTGTGTACTGTAGGACATCTTGTTGCTACGACAAGACAGTCCAGCACATCCTCTCGCCGCCCTCCGTGCCCCTCCCCCCCTCCCTGGCCTGACGGGTGCCCTATCTCCTTCCTACATACTCTGTATCTAACACAAGTATCTACCCATCTAGGCGGCTGGGATCCCACGACCGGGTCCATCCCCGCGGACACGCCCGCGAGCACGCAGATCGAACAGGCGTTCAAGAACGTCGACATGGCGCTCCGGCACGCGGGCGCGTCAGGCGGGTGGAGCCAGGTCTACCGCGTGAACAGCTACCACATCCCGCTCGACGACGCGGTGCTTGCCAAGATGAAGGCCGAATTCGAGAAGTGGATGGGCAGCAGCGCAAAGACGGGCGGCCATCGGCCCATCTGGACGTGTATCGAGGTGCCGAAGCTGGGACTCGAGAACATGAAGGTGGAGATTGAGGTCGTCGCGCATGTACCTGCTGTATAGCCGTTTGCGGCCATGTACAGTACCTATTGCGCTTTCTGGGTTCTAGATGTCTGCGTGTCTAAAATTCTAAAATGCTATATTCGTCAGTTCCCCACCACCTTCTGGGAGGCGCCCTCGATGTGAGGATGGCCCTTGCCCGTCGTGATGCCGGGAATCCGGCCCTTGTACTGTGGAATCCACTCGTTCTCGAACTTGCCCCTCGGCTGCCTCAGTCCGGTCTTGACGCGCCGCACGAACTGGCCGTGCGATTTATTGCCCAAGACGCCGCCCTCGTCGCGCGACCAGACGATCTCGCCCCTGCTGATCGTGTACCGGGGCCAGTTGCCGAACTTCAACCCTTCAAACGGCGTGTAGTCGCACGTGTGATGCAGCATCTCGTTCGTCAGGTCGAAGGAGACCGCCTCGTCGGGATACCATACCACGATGTCGGCGTCGTACCCTGCCGCCAAGCTCCCCTTGGTGTTGAGCCCGTATAGTTTGGCGGGATTGGAAGCCGTGACTTCGACGAATTTCTGCACGCTGATCCGTCCCTCCTGTGCCCCCTTGTAGATCAGGGGCAGCCGGGTCTCGACGCCGGGCAGACCATTCGGAATGTCGGTAAAGCGGGAGACACCGTCCTTCAAGCCCATCTGCTTGCCGAGGGGATGGTGGAAGCTGAATGGGCAGTGGTCGCTGGAAACGGTGGTGAAGGTGCCGTTCGCGATGGCTTCCCACAGCGCATCCAGATCGGCCTGGCTGTCTCGTAGAGGAGGTGAGCACACGCACTTGGCGCCCTCGAAGTTCTCGCCCTTGAGTCGGTCTCTGAGCAGATACAGATACTGCGGGCACGTTTCGGCGTGGATCGGGAGCAGTTTTGTCTGGGCGTCGCGCACATGGCGCGCCGCCACGGCGCTGGACACGTGTACCAGCAGGATGGGCGTGTCCATTAGTTGGGCAAGGCTGATCGCTCGGTAGGTCGCCTCATCTTCGGCGACCTTGGGTCGCGCGACGGAATGATAGTACGGGTCGCCCAGCTTCTGCTCGTACAGCTGCTCGATGATCAGGTCGATCATATCACTGTTCTCAGCGTGAATCATGGTCGTCATGCCCAGGGCCCGGGTAGCGAGCATGATGTTCAAGATTTCCCGATCCTTCAGCTTGAGCGGGTCGTACGTCATGTACAGCTTGACAGAAGTTATGCCCTGTTCGACCATCATGGGCAGTTCTTGCTCCACGATTGGTCGTGTCGGGTTGGTCAGGATCAAGTGAAAGGAATAGTCACAGTACGTCAGTCCCGCCGCCTTGATTGCGCGTCAGACGTTGTGCAGTACGAGTTTCGCAAGGGTCTGTTGGACTTACTTTTTTGTGGTAGGCCTCTACCACAGGCAGGACGCTGTCGTCGGTCTTGGCCTGAAAGGCGAATGCGACGATGGTAGTAGTACCGCCGGCAATGGCGCTCCTTGAGCCGTTCTCGAAGTTGTCGCCCAGGGCGCCATTGATGTGCTGGTCCAGGTGGACATGAGTGTCGACGCCGCCAGGTGTCACGTATGCACCTTGGGCGTCAACCACCTTCTTGGCGGTGAATATGCCTTGAAGAGCTCCGATGCACAGGATCTTGCCATCCTTAACGGCAATGTCTGAAGCGGGAGGATAAATCAGATCACTTGGCGAGACCTGGCTATGGTCAGTGTTTCGCGACTCGCCCAGTCAGTGGTACATTGCTCACAATGATACCGTTTGTGACCAAAAGATCGCATTCCAAGGTGGACGGAGCGTAGCTGCCCATTGTAGCAAGAAGGTGTTATGGAAGATACGAGTAGGCCAATCCAACTTCCTTCGTTGCTGGTCTGTGAGATGTAGTCAAGCAGATGACGGTAATGAACCTCTATCTCACACCCGTTGAGTGACAAAAGTCGAATAGGTAATTCGAATTTGTGGTAAGCCATAGCGACGTGCGATTGCTGCCGGCTTGTCCGTTTCCGAGAGCCTATTGTCCCGTGTCGTTCTAGATCCCGAGGCGTTTTCGAATCTGGTGTCGAGGTCTCCGCCTCGAAGTATCTACCCGGTACTATGGTAGTTGATATTGAACATCCAATGACAGGCTCAATGCCCATTGGGCAAGGCTGCGGTTCGTATCAGATGCAGGGGTTCTGGGCGAAGGGCCACCGGCGATACTCCGCTCAGGCGCTTTACTCCGACGCCTGTTGAATGAGAAGATACCTGGCTTGCTGGCGAATGGCCGTCGACTGTAGCAGCGATTCAACGTTGGCCGTTATCGCGGATTTGTCCATCGGACTTTCACAGCACACGCCAGCCGCTTACCACGTGGGTGATGTGGACCGAAATCCCGGATATAGACGGGCGTACTCCGTAAATCAAGACCAGCGCATCCACCTATGCTGCCTTGACTGCGGGCTAGCATCCAAGTCTCAGTACACCATATGGGTCCGGAAATTTGTGCATTGTGAATATCTCGTGGACTTGAGTTTGTGTTGCCATGTGGTCAAAATCCACAACGATAACAGACCGGCTTCCAATGGGGCCTGCGCGCAGCGTGGTCGGTTCGCCGCCGCTCGCCTTCCGCGTCGAGTCTTACGGTAGACCTGTGTAGCCATTCTCGGTGTCCATGGGGAGCACTCGGGCAGCTTATCTCTCTCAACCGAGATGCAGATCATCGGATCATCCGACCAGGGCCAGGCTGGGCCCTTGTAGCTCGCTTGTCCGGCCTCGTACCCACAAGTTGGACTCTCGAGATGGCGGGTAGATAAGGTAGGAAGGAAGTCAGCTGCATAGCCTGTTGACGGGCAAGGGTATATCAGGGCAGGTCTGGTTGTATGTCGGACGGGCATCCTGCTGAACGCTGCATACCCGCCAACACTGGACTCACGAGCGCTCAGGGAGTCCTGCCACCATCCGCCATGGCCTTCAAGCAGTTTTGGAATGAGCATGTGGTGCTCAAGCCACATCCAGGCTCGTTTGGCGCAGACGACCCTGCTGCCCTCAAATACACCAATGAGGACATGGATCCCATCAAGAGGAAGGACCGTACATACGCTTGGTACCAGATGGGGCTGTTCTGGATCGCTGAAGGCTTCAATGCCGCTCAACTCGAAGTCTCGAGTTCAGCATTCTCGCTCGGTCTGAATCCTGGACTCTGCGTCGTGGCCTGCCTCGTTGGCAACCTCATTGTCTCCTGGCCCTGCGCCGCATCTGGCTACCTAGGTAGTAAACTCGGAACGAACTTTCCCGGAACTGTCAGAGCGTCGTTCGGCATGATCGGATCGAAATGGGCGATGATCGTTAGAGGCGTGCCTTGTATCATCTATTACGGCATCCAGTGCAGTCTGGCTGGTCAGGCGGTACAAGCTTGCACCACGGCAATCTGGCCTTCTTTTGCTCATTGGCACCTCGACGCCTTCCCGAAGTCGGCAAACATCACCCCTCCTCAGCTGTTGTCCTTCACCATCTTTTGGTTACTGTCACTGCCATTCCTCTGGCTGCCGATCAAGACGCTGCGATATCTATTTGTCGTCAAAAGTATTCTGGTACCTCTGTTCTGGACGGCACTGTTCACTTGGTCAATCACTGCAGCTGGCGGATGGCCGAAAGTTTGGACAGAACCCAGCAAGCCACTCGATGGGTGGTCTGTCGGCTACCTCTTTGGCATCTGTGTCAATGCAGCCATTTCGGGCAACGCAACATTTGCGGTCAACATCATGGATATTTCGCGACACTCCAAGAATGACACAGCAGCGTGGGCGACACAGCTGTTTGCCTTACCTGTCCTGGTGACCTTGACCGAATTCTTGGGCTGTACGATGGCAGTGGCTTCGTCTGTCGTGTACGGACAAGTCGAATGGAACCCACTGAGTGTAATCAACCACTTCGACAACCGAGCCGGCAAGTTTTTCGCAGGTGCTTGCTTTATTTTCTTCAACATCATGACGAACGTCACCGGCAATTCAGTCCCTCTCGCAAATGACTTGACCGGGTTGTTCCCGAAGTACATCAACATTCGGCGCGGGCAGTTTATCTGCGCTGTCATCTCGTTCGCCATCTGTCCGTGGGAAATTCAGGCCAAGGCCACGACCTTCTTGGCTTTCTTGGGAGCATATACCTTGTTCCTGGGGTCAACCACTGGTGTAATCATGGTGGACTACTTCTGGGTACGAAGAGGATACGGCATCAACATCTCGCACCTCTTCAAGCCGCGTGGCATCTACTGGTACACTTTTGGCTGCAACTGGCGAGCATTTGTTGCGTGGTTTGTTGCGATCGCGCCGCTCTTCCCAGGCATGTTGTTCAGCATGGGAGTCCCGATTCCCAACCGAGGCATCCTCAACATGTACTCGTGGAATTATGTCCTCGTGGTTGTCTTCTCCGGGCTCGTGTATTTCATCTGCACCACTCTTTCGCCCATCCCTGTCCGGACTGAGGAGGAGGACTACGGGAAGTTGTATCTGATTGACGGTCTGGAGCCGACCAGCGAGACCGCGTCGAGCACTGGATACAAGGCAGACCGCGACATCGAGAAGCGTGTAGTCGACGCGAAGGTCGCGCCAACCACGATCGACACAGTTTTGTAAGAGGCGCAGTCAGGGAGCTGCGCAGCAATGTATATACAGTTGAACAATAGCTGAGTCCCAAACCAAATATTATTTAATTCTCATGTGACATTGTCACTGAAGGCGCGAATTGGCATACCTGCCAATTTAGCTCAACACGTGCTGGTTTACATAAGCGGCCCGCTAACATAGTTCCATAGTTAATAGGGCATTGAGCCAATCGGAGTGCGACCGCATCTTCAGCCTCGCACTCCTTCATGACATCGTTCAGTCCGCGACGTTCTTCAAATGAAGGAACGCACATCTCCATGTTCAGTAACCCATCGTTGATATCTCTGGCCTGCTTCGTGGGCTGGTTGCATAGACTCACATTCACTTTGCGCTCGTGATTCCAGCCCTCTAGATTATACCATAAGCGGATGTGTCCCTTCATTCAAATTAGACGAGCAAGCGCCTCAGCAGAGTCATTGTTACGTCCAACAGAATCGACCCGTAGAAATTTCCGCTCCGACCGCCAAAGACTTCCCCAGGATAGCTTCATCAAGACATAGGCCACTTCTGCTCAAGAGTTAGCCGAAGTCAAAGCCAATCCGCAAGCATGGCCCAAGGTCAAGAACAATCCACGTACGACCCGGCCACCACATCCTCCAAAACCGGCACATTCTACTTCGCGTTCGGGTCCAATCTGTCGGCTCATCAAATGTCCCTCCGTCTCCAGCACTCTCCCGCATCCAGTGTGCCCGTCGCCATAGGCCGACTGGATTCGCACGCCTGGATCATCTGCGAAAGGGGGTACGCCAACGTCGTGGCGTTGCCGCAGTCTAATGCCGCCACTGACGCCAACACCGTCTGGGGTGTTCTTTACAACATGCATGCCGTGGACGAGGCCCGGCTGGATCTCTACGAGGGACATAACGAGGCGAGGAATCCCAATCCCGTACGGAACGATGATCCCGAGACGCAGATGATCAAGCGGTTCGAGCAAGGAGGTTGGGATTACAACAAGCATTACTTGCCCATCACGGTGACGAAGTGGTTGAGGGATCCCCGCGAGTATGGTATCGATGTGCCTGGTTGGGGTGCTCAGTCTGTGGAGGGGAAAGTGTCGAGTCCAGCTGGAGCACATAACACCACGGTCCGCGCACTGGTTTATGTGGACGAGTACCGGACCACGCCAGGCAAGATCGTTCATGAATATATCGGAAGGATGAACCGTGGGATCGAAGAGTCCGTGCGCCTCGGATTGCCGCAGTCGTGGGTGGACAATGTGATGAGGAAGTTCATCCCGCCGGGTATCTACGTCGACCATGACGGCTATGTTGGTACAGATGACGGTTATGTCGAGGCGGAAGCGACCGAGACGGATGACCATGTCACGGAGAAGATGCTGAAAGAGATGGGAGAAGGGGCGAAGGCGGCATGGGGGTCATAGGTGTACACACGGATTCTAGCTCCAATTTCGTCACCCAACATAGACAGCGTAGTTCATGAAGTCTTCATCAGTTCTCAACCTCATTAGGTCCTCCTGTCTGGCACACAGTCCGGCCGCTACCTCCCACATCTGGCCTCTTGGGCATAGGATAGAACAAGTTCTCCACAGGTGTGAACTGTGGACGGCGCACAGCTTTTGTTTTGCCCGGTCCGAGGTTGACATCGAGATCATTGCACATGTATTTCACCCACGAGCTGAGCGTTATGTCCTGTGAGAGGTCTAGTGTAGCATTGGCATTGATGTTGGTTCTGTCTTCAGCACGATGAAACCACATTGAAGGTGCACGAGTGGCATCAGTGAGTTTTGACGTTGTCGGGTCGACCGCCCGACGAAGCTCGGACGCGATAAAGCCTACAGGCTGCTTCACCACTTCTCCGAGGCTACAGACTGTGTAGGTCATGTTCTGATAGAGGCCGGCGGTGTGGCCCGGATGTCCCAGTAACGGCGTGGGGCGACAGCGCGGGCAAATGTTGTCTCGTGAGTTAGCTTCAACCCGGGAAGACGCGCGCTTGAAACCGCTCACCAAACCAAGGCTCCCAGGATGTCGTCGGTGGAGATAGGGCTGGATGGTTCCTTGACGGAATTCGTAGCTGGTGTTTTGTAATTTCTGAGAGCTGCGGCCGGGAAAAGGAAGCACTAAGTAATTATGCCCAGGTGCATCCAGGGCTTGAAAAGGCCTGAGGCCCGGGTCGGGCCCCGCTGTCAGATGATATAGATTCGTGCGCAGAGGGGTTTCCGATTTGATGAGCTAGCTCCAGCTCGGGGTGTACAAACCGTCGATGGATGGAGTTGTTTCGCTGAAGGTTGCCTATCCGAAGTTCTTCGCCTGTGAAGGATCCGTTGGGGCATGCCTTGCATAAAAGCTACATCACCTGAGCCATAGCAGCCGTGTCCACCGCATTGTGCTGAGAGGCGAAGGAAAGCAGGCTGCCCTCGACAAAGCCGACTTGTCATAGGGAGACCGGTGCCGCGCCTTCAGTGCCCGCCGAGAGAGTGTTGATCGGTGCCATATAGCGTCGTCCAGCATTCCGAAAGGGGACTTGGCTTGTCGGCAATTTCTCGTTGCGAACGACATTGCTGATTTGAAGACACAAACACAGCTGGGTGTATTACTTGAAAAGTCCTCCCCGTTGGCCAAGGATATCAAGACGTACTTGGAGGTCGTCCATTTTGCTGGGCTTGAAGAGAACTTTTGCCAACCGGCCCTCAACCCTGGCCAAAGAGATGTATTATGTGTATCAAGCATCGAACCCACCTCTGTTCTCATCTCGGTACGTAGACGTCCAGTTTGTCCGAGATCTGCCCCGTGGCACTCGTAGAGTTTGGCAGATTGACGGCACGATTCAGTCCTGCGTGGGGAAAGTGAAGATTCGGTCTTTGACCAACAGCGGACCAGCAGCTCTCATTGAGCCCTGCATCGCTCACAACAACATCTGCTGTCGGAGTGTTTAGGCATGACCGTGGTTCTAAGCTGCGGCCTACGTGCTGTGAAGGGGCGTATTTATTCCCGAGTCTCCAAGTTCATCATAAAAGATTGCGTGGTCGATCCCGCAAGTCGGTGACGTCGCGTTCCGTATCCACCGCAACCCTTCACCGGCATTCTCCTTGTGACAGGGAAGCCTGGCGGGATCTGTGATTTCCGCCATGAGAAGTCAAGAGTCCGCCATGCACCACCACCTGGTCGTCGAGCAAGACCTAACTACACCTCCCGACTCACAAATGCCTGCCCTGCAATTACCGCCTAATCTCAAGTTTGGCCCTTTCGCCGTGACATCACAAGTCTTTCATCTCTCACCCTCGCGTCTGTCATATGGCTTGGTAAACCTCAAGCCACTACTTCCGGGACACATCCTGATATGTCCGGTACGGAGTGTGCCTCGGCTTTCGCAACTCACCGCCACGGAGACGGCCGATCTATTTAACACCGTCCGTTCTGTTTCGCGGACACTTCAGCGCGTATACCGCGCGACGTCTTTCAACATTGCCGTTCAAGATGGAGTTGATGCTGGGCAGTCAGTCCCGCATGTTCACGTCCATGTGATCCCGCGGCAGAAAGGGGATTACGACGACCGAGGCGGCGGGGATCGGATCTACGATGCCATGGATGGAGACGAAGGGGACATTGGCAAGGCCTTCCTTGAAATGCAGAGGATGCGGGATGAGAGAGCGAAGAAGGGGAGGCGGGATTTTGTGGGTGGCCCGGACAGCGATAGGAAGGCAAGGAGCGAGGAGGAGATGAAGAGGGAAGCGGAATGGTTGAGATCGGAGATTGAAAAGGATCGCGGAGAGGGAGAGGGCGAGGGCGAGGATGAGGAATGACCGTCTCTGCCTTGTGCCTGGCGTCGCGCTGGGAGTTGCGGACATGGGCTCTTTGAGTAAATCTAGATCCGGGCGTGGGAGACACCGCGCGAGGAACGAAAAACTTCCTTCTATCGTTATCTGGGTATCTTGGTTGCATGACTGATTTTCCATCTTGTTGCACACTTGGCCTTTATCGCCTCGAACAGGCCCCGGTCACTGCGCATGCCCGTTCATTTCTCCGTCCGTGATCCCGTTACCCAAAGGCTGCGCGGTTCTGTTATCATTGCCGTAGTACTCGTCTTGTTGTTCCTTGATAGTTGCTGCCCGTGTCGGTTCCCTCGGTGCCAAGTCCTTGCTCTTCCACAATTCCGTCCTCTCGTTGAGAATGTCCTGTGCCCAAGTCTTCATCTCCTCCAGGGCGATCTTTTTGGCTACCCAACTGAACTCACTAAGATCGATGGTGCACTCGTTCGCCCGCTCATACTCCACCATCTGCAAGATCAGTTCTATCTTGTCGACGTCGTGGACAAACTTTGACTCCAATGTCTCACTGTCTTCGTATTCTTGCCATGCAGCACGGATCTCCTTTCCCGGGACCCCCCCGTGTACTTTCCCTAGCAGTGACTGAGCCACCCAATCCATGGTCTCAGCTTCGCGTCGGTTCTTCTCCACCTTTGGCACACCGTCCACCGGCGTCAGATCTCCAACGAGCCCCTCAGCCATATCATGGACCAATGCCATCCTCGTGCAGCGCGGGATATCCAGTCGCGAACTCAGCTCAGGGGGTGCGAGCATGGTGATCAGCGACATTCGGTACATATGGTCTGCTATTGATTCGCCCTTGTCGATGCCAAACCTTCGCCATCCTTCGCGCTTTTCGAGTTTCAGACGTTCGAGGTAGTGGAAGAAGTGAACAGGCGAGGATGAATTCTCAGTCGGCGGGTTGGGCAGGTCTTTCAGAACGGCGCGGACAGACCAAGGGTTTGGTTTAGGGAGAGACGACGTGTGAGAGGACCGGAGCGTGTATAAGGGCTGAGTAGGTGGGACTGGGTGCTTTCAGCGGGAGAACACGCTTCCGCAGAGGGACAACTTACTCTCAGGTCTATCGGCCATGGTGTTCTGGAGGGGGTGTGATTTTTGGTGGAGTGTTGCAAGATGGGAATGCGAAGTGGAACGGTTTGGGAGGAAAGAGAAAGAACAATAACTGTAAAAGACCCCCCGGTTTTATACTGCCGTATCTTTGCAGCGCCTCTATACAGGCAAACGTGCAGGACGGAGAAGAACGGCTGAAAATTGTTGATGAGCAAACACTGAGCGAGAATCAGAAATGCCACTCACTGACTTTGTTTCGTTGTTTACCTGCAGTGCCCCGCAACGCAGCGTTCGGCCCGGAACCCGCCCGCTGGGGAAGACGTCATTCCCAGGCACCCTCACAACGGGCGATGCTGCTAAGCGAGACCAACTGGATCAGTTGTACGGAGTATCTATGGTTCCATCCCTGCAAATCGACCTTTGTTTGCCCTAAGACAGTCCTTGCTAGTCAGGTGTATTTGGGCGCCGTTGATGATCCTGAGTGACGCCTTCCAAAGGCAATGCAGCGACACATCTCGGTGCGCAGAGAAACAGTTGATAGAACCGACTTCAATCTGTGAGAGATCGATCTGGTTTACTTGACCTCTGCTTCAGGATCCAAGCACTCTGCGGGCAAACCCTGGGCAGTCAGGCTGACTGAAGCCTCTTGGCAGAAGCCTATTCCAATGAAGCTGAGGCTCGACGTCAGTGTACACGTCGTGCTCAAGACGCCTGAAAAGAGTGCATTCTGTGTACAACACGACTCCATGACTTCTCCCGCAATCATATACAGTACCTTCCCGAGCACAGGCACACTGCAATACGGCAAGATCGCAAGTCATCATGGAAGCAGGCTCCTCCATCCCACCGTTGCAATATCTTGTTGCCTTCCTCCTCCCCGTGATGCTAATTGGAGTCTTCGTCGGCTCTCTGGTCAGTCCCCACAATATATCAGCCGCAGCGGTAAGTTTCCTCTTCTCCCCGGCAGGCCAGATTGTCTTTTCCTCGCGTCGCTGTCAATGCCGTCTAACGGAGTCCGCAGCTGTTTCCTCAGCCAGCCAATAAGCCTGTGCATTCGTTCTTTTACCTGTTCGCGACTCGAGAACTGTGCCTAGGGGTTGCTCTGCTGACCCTGGAGGCATACAACGAGTGGCGTGCGGTGACCGTCCTGATGGCGTGTATTGGTCTCAACGGCATTGGTGACTTTCTGCTTGCGGGCGCTTCAGGCGGTGGTTGGTGGCCTTCATTCACCACCCACGGTATTCCTACTATTGTTGGATACTGGGCGGTTTGGAAGTTATGGCAGGAGTACTGGTGAGGGAACCTTAACCAGACCTTGGAACCCTCGAACGTACATAACATCCAGGTTGTGCGGCGACGGCAATTGCATGTCACCGTGTCGCGGGTGCTCGGCCCATTTGACTGCTCCTGGAGGATGATGAGCCCCAAGCATGGCTGTCCGCAAACAGTGATGCGAGGCCCCCCTCAGCCCCGTGCGAGATAAACTTGCGGGCTACTGTAAATTAACGGAGACTGCCAAACTGCCTAATTACATAACCTCCACGATCGACAGGCACCGGCCCCGCCTCAAAATCCCGCGCACCTCGACACGGTCCTTTTCACAAGTGGGTACAGTATCAAACATGCACTTGTCTTGCTAAACCGGCCAACATGGAGCGACCACCGGCACCTCGTCTTCAATGGAGCCCTCGCAGCAACATCGCTATCTTCATCCATGCATTGCATCTTCTCGACCTCGACCTCCTCCCCAGCTGGCCCGGCATCTCCGAGTCTCTCTTCGCGTCGAAATCAGTGCAGAACCATCAAGCACGCGTCAAATCCACGGAATGGGCGCTCTACCACCTCTTCCGGCTCTACTCTCCTCCAGACACGCAGTCGAGGCTGGCTCCACACTTCCCGCCTACGACGTCCTTACAGAGCAAGAACCTCCGCGCCGCGCTGTATAAATGGCTGGCGGAGCTGAAATCGACCGCCGTCCTGCCGAGGGAAGTAGTGTTGAGGAAGACGATGCTGGATGAGTGCAAGGGCGACAAATTCGAGGAAGTGCTCGCCAAGGTCGCGATGGTCGTGCTCAAGAAAACTCTGCCGAGCAGGAACCATGAAAGGAGGACTGGGGAAAGGCCTGGCAGTTGTGAGCAAAACTTCGGGACCCTTGTGCCGTTGATCATGGCGCATCGCGTGTCTCTTCGGCAGTCTCTCGCGGCGCGGCAAGATCTGGAGGCCAAGGCCATGGCATATTCGGAGCGGTTGGCGCAACTGCAGCAAGAAATTCTCCCCGAGTTACAGAACCTGCAGGCTGCAAGCGACGGGGTTGACGGAGCGGGGCAAGCCCTCCCAGCTAGAGAATACGAATCGCTCCGACAGCAAGTTGATCTAGCGTTCGCGACCGACAGACGCTGGGCGAGATATATCTTCGAAGGCTCTGCTGCGGAGCCCGGGTATTCCGCAGTCTCGGCGCAGAAAATACTCCCAACATGGCCGTTTGATGACCCCGGCCCTACCCTTGACCAGGGGCCTGCAATCACCACAGACGACGACGACTCGCCTTTGAACATGGCTACAGCGAGTTCAGAAGGAGATGCAAACGAACCGATGCGCGAACTGCAGTTCTTGATCTCTCAAAACCACGACCGGCTCGAGCACCTTACGCGATTGCAGGAGACTCTCCTCTCGTCAACGGAACCCGAAAGCCACCCGGAAGATGTGGCGCCAGTGCTATCCAACTTCGCCGGTGTGGTTGACCTTCACCACCACCACCCATCTGCAACGGCGCAGTCCATATCTCGTGCGCCAAAGCCGAGATTCAATAAACACCAGGCACTCACACTCGCCCTTTGAACTTGAGACGCCGAAGTCGAACTAAGACAAACCCACACATCGATGTATCGCGGTATTCAACCAATCTTGTATGTACAGGCGGGCTGTTAAGATATCCGAACACATTGGATCACGATTCTGGCTTCGAGTCGACATCCGTGCCTAGACTTTGAAGAATAACCATTTCCATCCTCACGCCCAATCAATCTCTACTTGCTGCGATGCCTGTATGGATGTTGTTGGATCTGGCTGTGGCTTGAAACTGCCGGATCTTACATACTAGAACAGGTGTCACAGTCGTTCATTGCAGTCGACTTGAACGTGCCGCGAAAGTTACTGTCCTTCTGTTCGACTGGGATTGACAGCTGACAACTGTCTCGGACTGGCGCCGGAATTCTGGTCTATTGAAGACCGGAAGAGAAGCTTGAAAATGGCTTCTGAGAACAGAGACCTTTCCAGAAAGATTTGGTTCGATTGAAGCAATTTTATTAAAGAATCATCATGATCTGGGGTATCATCCAGAAAGTCCCATATGAACTAAGAGAAGTGTCCAGATTCAAAAGAGCGAAGGGAGAGAGAATTGGGCGAGCCACTTACTCGTTCTCGACCTTCCACGAGCTCGGTCGTGGCCACACATCTGGGTCTGGTTGCCCTTGCTTCGCGCGGCACTCAGCTTCTGGTTTCTGCAGCTTCGTCTGCTCGAGTCGCGGATTCAACACCCCTCATCCACCGACATGGCGGACCACGCATCGTCACTGCGCTCCTCAAACTCATCGGTCCCTCCAATACCAGACTGTAAAGGCCGGCAGACCCCCTAAGACCGCGGCCAGTGCCTGGCATCCTCGGTCCCCCACGCTCTGATGCCCCCTTTGACGTCTCTATCCTCGTAGTATCCCTCGTCTAGGTCGACGTCCTCATCTCCCATCTCAACCTCAACTCGACTTCCTAGCGCGGCCTGGCCCTCCCTGATCATCGCCTGTAGACGATAGTTGAAGCGATTCATGGTTTGATCTTGCTTGGCCTCCTTTTTGCGCATCTTTTGCTCGAACTTTCGGACCTCGGGTGACTGCTTCTGCGAGGGACTTGTTGGAGACACAGAGGATTGCCGGCATGGAGAGGCAGGTGAGCCACGATTTGAGTGACTGCTACTAGGACGTGTTGATTGGCGCCTTCCGGTATTTTCTTGGGGATCGGTTGTGGGAAATGAGGTTATTGCATGATGTGGCTGGTGCTTTGTTGTGGAAATCGAGCTGATTGAATTGCGCGGTGAGGCGTAGGAAGCCGATGATCTTGCTGTCGACGACCTGGGGGTGAGACACGGACGGCACAGGGTGTGACTCGGATGCCGCGGTACGTTTGATGGTCGTGCCGCATAGAGATTCGCCGTGCTGGCTCTGGACTTTTTCCGGACCGGGCTCGATTCCCTCGATCTGGAAGTACCGTGGCTGTCCTCGACTAACACCCAGCTATTGTAGCGTGATGTCGCCGGAGCCTCATCTCGCCGACCCTTACGGGGTGTCACATCATTGTGCTCCTCTTGGTCGACAGTTAACTTGGACATGTAATCCTCGATGAATTCTGGACTCTCATCCGGAAACCCCCCGGGCAGCGGTGTTATCTCTTGATCCATTTTTCTCGAATAGGTGCTGTAGCCATTACCATAACCATCACCTTTCGTGCCAACATCGGCCCAAGTGCTTGAGGCCGGTCCAGTCGTTCCAGTATCGAATTTATACCCACCGCCACCACCGGCATAGAACCCACTGAAAGTCGTATTCCAGCAGAAGTTGATGACTTTGCCGGCAAAACCACCAGTGAAAGCCCACACTGTCTTCCCCCAGCCCTTCATTGGCGGCGAAGGCGGCGACAGTCTCCGCTTGTTCTTCCGGCTCTGATCTGGGGCGGATGTCTTCGGGAAATAAGAGTCTGTGGTGTGCAATGAGTTTTGAGAGCTGTACCTGCTCGGTCGGCAGTCTATCTCGTAGTCAAATTCGTGGGCGTCTTCCTCATGCTGCGTTCTGGAAGCAGTAGGGGTGTCGAGGCCGCCTGCGATGCGGTAGTTTGTGTTGACTAGAGGTGAAGGACTCGAAACGTCGCCATGCGCCGATGTAGAACGATTGTGAGCGGCATCTTGAAGGGATCCTGTATTGAGCCGTGGTCGCTTGCGGCTGTAGCGCTGGTCGTCTGAGAAACGAGACGTGTTTATCTCAGACTGACGACAACCTGACTGAGAGTTTTGTGAGAAAGAGGAGGAGGAGGAGGAGGAGGAGGAGGTGGTGGTGGTGTTTAGAGTATCGCGATCTGGAGGCAGGAACGGAGATGCTTTGAATTTCGCGCAGCGGAAAGAAAAGTCGTTGTCAGGCAGGAATGTGCCTGGCATGGGATTGGGCTCCATGACCACGGTCATGGTCATCGGGCAAGATGCTCAGTCAGCTGAGGAGGACGGCTTGGTTACGGCGAGGGAGATACGCAGCATTATCCGTGAATTCGGTCTGGCCTCGTGGCGCGAAGGCATTGCAGCTTTCATGACGTGGTCCGCATGGGCGCGGTGAAACGACAGTGAGGTGTTGGCACCATCTGAGTTGGCAAGTCCAGGCTCCAGCTTCTGAACACGAAGTGAGTGACAGGTGAGGGACAAATGAGAAGTTGGGCCGGGCGTCATTGTTGACTTTGGCGTTGACGCAGCAACCAGCCGACATGAGCGCCACCACATCTGCAAACCCGCCGAGATTCAACTGTCACCGTCAACCGGTTAACGTTGCAATCCACCTATCAGGCGTGTGTGACTGGATTCCTCATTGAGCATTAGCACACCACGTTGCACTTCGCCAGATCTTGCCGGCGCGTTTCCTGCACAGTCAGTACATACGCAGCACGGAGGGAAATAGCGACGTTAAGGACGTGAGTCAAACATCGCGTCTACTGTAGTCACTCAACAGCTCAAAGGACATAAAGCACGCTCGAAAGACTGATCATAAGGTGTGTATTGAAGACAGCGTCTCAAATGCTTGCTGGTGTTCCCACCTCTTCTTGAAGTGGTTTCTTCCTCTCCCATGGCTAAGCATTAAGCATCGTTGCCACTGGGAGGCAAACCATCGACACCTCTCCCTAGATCCTCCTTCAACGCCTTCCCGCCAACCTCCAATTTCTCGCAGTCCTGCAATACAAAGATCATCCTCGCCCATTCAGTCTCGCTCGTATTCTTCCACGCATGCATCGTTGCCCTCTGAACCGCAACATCCCCTCTCTGCATGAGCTTTCTCTCCCCACTGTCCAAGACCAGCTCGATCGTGCCTTCGAGAACGATGCCATAGTCCAGACTCTGCGTCCGATGCATGATACATTCGTAGCCTGGTGCGAAGTCGACGACGCGACAGACCGTGCCGTGAGAATTGACCAGGCCGAGCTTGCCCTTGGACATGATCTCATCGTGAGCCTTGATGTCGGCGTCGTTGTTGAGATTTGCGGGGAATTGCGAGGTAGTGTAGACGACATTAAAGGCCATCAGCTTGTCATCGTAGACTGACCAGTTGCCAGGGCGGCTTTCTTGGACAATGGCCTCGCCCGTGCTGGCATCGTGGCCAGTGAGGTGGGTAGTGAGGCCCGGAAGGCCGTTGGGGATCTGTGTGGGATTCGGTGGACGAGACGTGGACATGTTGAGAAATAATTAACACGGGAACTGATGTGCTGGGGTGAAGTGAAGATGGGAGTGAAGTCAAAGTAAGTTAATGAAATTGAACAGCTGGCGTTGTGGTGAACGGGCGCCTCCCACAAATGCCCCGGGACTAGCCACAATCTTGCAGTGATAGGGAGTGGTCCTATCAGCGATGCAGTGGTGGTTTTATCATTCACTTGTGGCTTCGTAACAACTCACTCACAACTGAGAAGAGGCCAACGTTTTGTCCATCGAAGGAGTGCGACGTACCCCGCCCGGCGTTACGAACAGCAGATGCTCACCCCGCAAACCGATCGGCCTCTTAATGCAGCACGTCGAGAGAAGCATGGACTCGATCCCGATTTCTATTGAGGAAATGACTATTCGCTGTTCGCCTTGAAGTATTTAAAACCTTGAAAGAGCTTGCTCCTCCGAAGTGACGTATCAAGACAGCGCAGAGGCGCCTCAAGACCTCCGGTTACAACACCATCTTATACTCCGGATCTCGGTCGTCTCCATACCCGATATATTTGTCGTACTTGCCATTAGCCTTGTCCCGGTTGATCTTAGCGCAGTAGAGGACATTACACAACACCCTGTCCAGTGCGTCAGTATATAAATCCATGTCAGGAAACGCATCCAAGACTCACGCGAACCAGGCATAGACCAACAGGCCCAGAATGATGCTATGCGATTTGTGATATTGCGGGGCCTCCTCGGATTGGTAGATGAACGCTATCATGGCATTAGTGTGCATGTCACGGGGATATTGGGGCCTCCAGGCGGGCTACTCACAACTCACGAAACCGCCAGCGTTGGCGATCGCCAACTGTAAGCCGGAAGTCGTGGCTCGTTTGTAGTGTCCAGCAGAGTTGTTCGAGTTCCAGACCAGCACTGGCGGCACACTGGCGTACAAGCCCGTGGCCATCAAGAATGTCATGCCGTACTTTGCGTGGTTGTCCTGCTTTGCGACATTGGCGATGGCGGCATAGCCGATGATCGCCAAAGGCAGGGTACACAGCATCACGACGCCCCTGAGCTTCATGCGATCGGAAATGACAGCCACAATGACGGTCACGACCGCCGCCACCGCATAGGGAATGACGGACCAGAGCTGCGCCTCGTTTGCCGTGTAGCCTAGCCCTTTGATGATCGTCGGTAAGAACAATCCAAAAGAGTACAGTCCGGACAGGATGGCGAAGTATGCGGTTGCGCTAAGCCACAGTTGAACGTTGAGGATTCCGCGGCGGACTTCCGACCATCGGAACTTCTCGACGCCCTCGCTCTCTTGACCGTCAGGCAGATGTGCGGAGGTATCGTTTTGGAGCCGGCGTCTGGCGAGCTCCCGCTCCTCGGGCTTCAAGAACCAAGCGGTCGAGACATTGTTGGGAAGAATGAAATAGGAGCCCACTCCGGCAGCGAAGGTCAGTAGGCCCTCAATGATCATAATCCATCGCCAGCCCGCGTCGACGGCGCCCCCGGTAGGTCCAATGGCAGAGAGTCCGCGAGCCAGGAGACCTCCAAAGGCTCCGGCGAGTGATGCGCTGGTGTAGAACAAGCCGATCCGGAGTGCCAGCTCGCCTCTCGTATACATCCCTGAAAGATAGAGCACCATACCTGGCCGCGAATTAACAGCCGCTCGCCTGGTAGAATTGGTTGGCAAAATACATACCCGGCAAGAGGCCTCCTTCCGCAAGCCCGAGAAAGGCTCGGACGGTCAAGAAGCCGGCGTAGTTTCGAATGAATCCCAGACACATCCCGACGATGCCCCAGGCGGACGTCAAGAAGGCAAGCCATAACCGTGGGCTGAACTTCTTCAGCACTAGGTTGCTAGGTAATTCTGCGGCAATGTAGAATGCGAAGAAGATGGCAAGACCGTTGGCGTATTGGCTATTGCTGACACCGATATCCGTCTCGAGCCCTAAGATCTTCGCATTTCCGACATTGGTTCTGTCCAAGAACGAGCAGAGGAACAACAAGGCAAGCACTGGCAGGATTCTGCACGAAGCGAGGGGGGTAAGCATAATCAACGGCATCGGGAGTACGACCCGAGCATGGTTGGAGCATACCTCGTGTCCAGTTTCCATAGAAGTTTTCGCGTCAACGCCCGGGTATGGGCGTCGTCATCTAATGCGGAAACCGAGTTATTCTTGTGTGCTGATGGCGCTTGACTCGATGTCTCGAACTGAGCATCGTCGGGCTTTTCAGCCATAGGCTCGTGGGCAACCTTTTCTTCGGCCATGGGGGCGCGAAGTAGACAGAAGCGTGTGTGGGACTGCAAGCTAATGATCGATGACGCTCAGACTCAAGGCGCACGAGGAAAAGGGAGAGATGAAAAGAGGGGAGCGGAGAGGGAGATTCAAGGCTGCTCAATTTTTGCAGACTGCAAGAAGTAGCAAAAGTCACGAAAATCCGGGGTCGACCATCATCTTTATATCGCGAGAGCCAAATGTTGGGCCCCGTAGTGATCTGTCGTTCTACCCCATGGGTCAGGGATGCGACGATGAACGCTCTTTGCCCGCCTATCGTTGAAGCTGTGCGGTGCCGTCACCGTATTTAGTGATCAGGAATCGCGTCTCAACAAGGCGGGCGGCACGACGTCGTGCGTCGGCCAAGGCTCACAGAAGGCTACCTTATTCGAGAGAGGACCAATAAGCACAACAAGCACGACAAGCTTCCGGACTGAGGGCACGACGAGGATGGCGGACATCGGTGAATGGCCGTGTCAAGCAGGCGACACACGGAGATACACAGGAACGGCGATGAAGCAGACCCTGAAAAGCGGCGGGCTGTGATTGGCAGAAGCCAAGGCCTGGTCGCCGGTGATTGGAGGGACGTAGAAGAATCTCCGACGGAGCCCAGATTCAGGCCGAGCTCAGTCTCGCCTCATCGTCCGTTCATCGGACCTTCATTTTGCCGTCACCACCAACACAGACTTTGAGCTCGCTAACAGCTCCGTCTCAACGTTTGATTCCTCCTCAACGGGGATCCTTGTCAGATCAGCCTCGCATACGAGTCCAACGGCCCACCAATCGCGCATTCTCGGGCTTATTACATGAGTGACAACGCCGCCAGGAAAAGAGCGGAAGAGCGACCTCGGTGGCGAGAAGCGCGGCGCCGACAACAACGTCAAGGTCAAAGCTGTAGGCAAGCCGTCTTGGTCCCCCCTGTTGGGTGCCTCTTATCTTGCAGCTGTGCTTCTCTGTATTAACGCCGACCGTGACCTGCAGCACATCGCATCCACACCCACACATCAGTAGACACCATGTCGAAGCTCTCGGAGCCCTTAAAACATCTCATCAACGCCGCGCACGCCCTCCCCGGCACGCTCAGGGCCCCGCCATCCATCCGCTCGACCTACTCCCGCATCGCAAACAGCGCCCATGACCGAGGCGTCGGCATTCCCGCCTGGCTGACCATCTCGACGGCGACGACCATGACGATGAACTCGCCGCAATCAATGGTCGAACTGTTCCACTTCGCGTCCTCTCTCCCGTCGGCACCATCGCCGCCCGAAACAGCAGGCCTCATGCGCGAAGTCGGCCTGAAATGCATCTCCTTCAACGGCATCCCGCGGACGATCAACGTCCTCGGCGCCTTCCGCGAGGGCCTGCCCAAGGAGGTGGTCGACAAGATCCCCGCGCCGCCGACCCGCCAGCTGACGCCGCAGAACATCGCCGACTCGCTGACCCGGGGTCGCCGGCTCTGGGACTCGGTCTACAAGCCGTTTGAGGAGAAATTGCTCGCCCGGCTGGCGCAATCGCACCCCAATCTGCCCGTCCACATCATCAATGGACATTACTCGAATTTGTTGTCCGATCCGCCGAATGACTCGCCTCTGCGGGTGGGCCGCGTGCTGACGTCCCTGGCGGCGATTGCGTGCTTGAGAGCGCAGACGGGCGTGGGACCCCAAGTCACGAGCCATGTCTTTGGCTTGCGCAAGGCGTATCAGGACGGGACGGCAGAGAAGGACATCGAGGGCGGGGAGTGGCTGGCTACGGATGAGGGGAACCAGTGGATTTTGAACACGATCGACGAGCTGGTCCAGGCGCTCGGTGAGGGACGGGGCACGACGTTTGCGCCGGGGATGGGCTTGGGGGGCGAGAAATTGAAGGCGAAACTGTAGAGGTCGGATTGTCGGAGAGGTTTATATATGTGGGCCTGTGTCTGCGTGTTTCATCAAAGGCAAAAAGACGGGCTTAAAAGTGAGGGACACATAACTATACTGAGCGATAAGTCCACCTACGTTGACCACTCTGTAAAAGTCAACACATGGCATTGTTTGTTTTCGACGTCTGCTACCTTTATATTCAACGTTGGCCACCTGCTCGAGACATGACTCACTCGACTACTGGATGATTCTGCAAGTACGGCGACTAAGGCGTAGAAACCAGAGGCCTTCCAGGCAGTCAATGCTGACATCTCTTTTCTGGGTCAGACATGCACGTATCTGATGGTCTTCCTGGCCAGTGCATTGCTGTATATATTGATGTATATAAGCAGACAAGTATGTACGCGTGTTTGACAGTACTAGTGGATCGGTGGACCAGCGCCAGTATACCGGCTTGAAATGCACATCCCACACGGCGTGAATCCCCAAGCTCCCAAACAAAACTGCAGTCAGATCGAATCACTCCATGGACCCAAGCTCCTCAGCCACGGCAAACTTGGCCCCGGTCTTCGCCTTGACCTCGTCCACGGTCACGCCGTCGGCCAACTCGGTCAGGGTCAACGTGCCCTTGACGCGGTCGACCTCAAAAACACACAAGTCCGTGATGATGGTGCTGACGACGCGCGCGCCCGTCAACGGCAACGAACACACCTCGACGATCTTGGGCGCGCCGTACTTGTCGACGTGATCCGTCGTGACCACGATCTTGGTCTGGCCCGGGTTGGAGACCAGGTCCATCGCGCCGCCCATGCCCTTGAACACCTTCCCGGGGATCATGTAGTTGGCGAGATCGCCCGCGGCGCTGACCTGCAGGGCGCCCAGGATCGACACGTCGACGTGCCCGCCGCGGATCATGCCGAAGCTCTCGGCGCTGTCGAACGTGGCCGCGCCCGGCACGAGCGTCACCGTCTCCTTGCCCGCGTTGATGATGTCCGGGTCGACTTCGTCTTCGGTCGGGTACGCGCCCATACCCAGGATGCCGTTCTCCGACTGGATCCACACCTTGACGTCCTCGGGCAGGAAGCTGGGCGCGAGCGTCGGCATCCCCACGCCCAGGTTGACGTACATGCCGTGTTTGAGTTCCTTGGCGGCACGGCGCGCGATGCGGTCGCGCCGGACGAGCGCGTCGGATTTGTCGGACTCGGGTTTGGCCGACGCGGCTGATGCCTCGGAGGTGGAAGAAGTCGGTCGCGTCTTCTTGATCTCCAGCTTCTTCTCGACAGTGGCGGGCACGATGCGGTCGACGAAGATGCCCGGGAGGTGTACGTCGTTGGGGTCGATCGAGCCGATGGGCACGATGTTTTCGGCCTCGACGATCGTCAGGCGCGCTGCTTTGGCCATGATGGGGCCGAATGCTTTGGTGGTGTATCTTTTAAAAACAAACAAGAAGTCAGTATAGTCTGTGTTTAGAGCTCTAGCTTATACGCATCTCGGATCGAGAAGAGATAGGCGGTAGGGGCATTCCTCACCTGAACTGACAGTTCCCTGCCTCATCGACCTTCCATGCCCGGATAATGGCAACGTCGCCCGTCAGCGCGGTCTCCATGACGTAGGTTCTGCCGTTGAATATCCTCGTCTCGCGCGCCTTGCCCGGCTCAAGCACCACGGATTTCTTCGTCGCCGGGTCTGCGGGGCCAAGTCGTGTCGGGATCTCGCCCGTCTGAATGAATGTGTCTGAAGGGGATACAGCATTAGTACAATCAACTCTGCCCTCGCAATCAAAGGAAAGAGAGTTCCACGTACGAACACCAGTCGGGGTATAGAATGCCGGGATCCCGCTGCCGCCAGCGCGGATACGTTCCGCCAACGTCCCTTGCGGACATAGTTCAATCGCAATGTTGCCGTTCAGGTACTTCTGTTCGAGTTTCTTGTTGTTGCCGAGATATGAGAGGATGCAGCGCGTGATTTGGCCTGACTGGGTCAGCGGCGACAAGCCTCCGGCGCCTGCTGCGCCAGCATTGTTGGACACCGCAGTGAGGTTGTTCAGCGAGTCGGGCCCACGCTTGTGCAGGGCCGTGATGATCGTCTCGGCCGTGCCGCAGAGTCCAAACCCGGCACTAAAGATCGTGGAGCCGGACTTGATGTCTGCAACAGCCTCGTCGGCGTCTTTGAACAGCTTCGACCTGGTGCGGTCAATGACGGGCTGGTCATCATCAGCGAGCTTGGGAGATGGTGCAGCCTCGCGCTGTCTCAGTCGTGAATGTGAAAAGTATCGAATATCATGCTGCTGTTGCGAGGCGAGCCATGGTCTGACTCTTGATTGGCGCTGGTGTAGGCTTCTGCGGGGAAGCAAGTTGTTGACGTGACGATTTGGGGAGCTCGCAGTCCTGAGATCATTGACGCAGAGCAGCAGTGTGCGTCTTGCTGTTGGAGAAGCCATGCTGACCGTCCGTCTTGTGCTTTACTTAGCTTACCGACGACGAGGATGGCGAGGTGCGTCGATTTAATCTATATCTCATGAGTGATTTAGCAAACAGGTCCCGGAATGGCAACGGGAAAATAGTTCTTCGAAACCGATCAATGGAGAGTTCAGCAAGACCAGCGAGATCGGCTAGACAGCACGGATGTCATCGATGCCCATGCGGCTTCCGGTCATTCCACGTGATCGGGAGTTGAGTTCGGGGATTCTTTTGATGCCGTGTCGTCGTCTGGCGGGCGGAAACCTTACGCTTGTGGCGCCTGCGGGGGTCGACGGGGGATTTCCAGATGATATTGCCGATGAGGATCATCCGCGTCCCTATGTACGAACAAGGCAATGTGGGACTCTCCCAGCAAACAGGCCGCGAGGATGTACAACAGCGTGCTGAGATGCTGCTACTGTGCGCTGGGTAGAATATGTCGCAGACATGCACCCTCGAACAACGGACTCAGGCTCTTAGGTTGCGATAATCAAGAACATCTCGTACCGAGCAGACCTGCCGAATCCATAATAGAAGAGTGTTACCTGTGTTGCGGGTAGTCAAGCAGAGAGTCACCAGCCATCGGCGCATCCTAAAGACAAAGCCGCGACTATGCCCAAATCAAAGAAGCAAGGACAGCCTTTCTGGCTTGGGTGAGTGATCGGATTTGCACGTCGCCATGATGCACTTGTTACTGACCATGAGACAGAGGTGCTGCTGCATCGATGGCCGCGTGCTTCAGTATGATCGCCCGTTTCCCCGATAGCCTGGTGTGGTATTCACTGACGTGACAATCCAGCTCATCCCCTCGACCAAACCAAATAGTAAGCTGGGTTTTCCTGCTCCCTCCGGCGGGTGTAGAGGACTGACGACGCTCTCAGTAGAATGCAGGTCATGGCCACGAGGCAAAACATGCTGCGGACGATGATGCAATTTGCGAGTCGAGACGGTGAGTACTGGCCACGTTGGTTTTTGTGTCATTACACCGAGACAGACTCATGTCCATGACAGGCATTCCGTCCCTGTGGTGGGGCATATCAGCCTCGATGCTGCGACAGTCGACATATTCGACTGCGAGATTTGGACTGTACAATCATTTTGCCAACAAGGCTCGGGAGCGGTCGGGCATGACACGGCTTACGAGTGGATGGGAAATTATCTGCGCTGGGGCTGCTGGCGGCCTGGCTGGACTCATCGGGAATCCGACAGAGGTCTGAAAGAGCAATTGCTTGACGGTCCTGCACGCTGACATTGCGGGTTAGGTTGCTCTTGTGAGAATGTGTGCAGACGGAGCGAAATCGCCCGCTCAGAGGTTCGGGTACAAGCACGCCTTCGACGCAATCTTGAGAATCGGGCGGGAGGAGGGCATTCAGACCTTCACTCGAGGTCTTGGTCCGAACGTCGTCCGCAGTGTGATCATGAGTATGTGTGCCGTTAAGTTACTGTTTTTGCGAATGCTGCTGACAAGGTGCAGATGTTTCCCAAATAGCAACGTACGCTTTCTGAAAAGGGCGACCAAATGTATGAGTGCTCACAAGTGCCCAGATATTCCGCGGCGAAGCGCCGGCTTCTTTCAAACCCGTCGCTCGGCCTTAAAGACGGAATATTTACACACTTTCTCGCTTCCTTGGTTGCAGGCACGGTCGCGACAACTGCTTGCGCACCAGCGGATGTGCTAAAGAGCCGGATCCAGAACGCCGTGGCCGTCGACGGAGTAAAGCCGGTAAGGATATACAACCGATGGTTGGTCGAGCTTTTGCTGATACGATTCGACAGAGCGTGAGCAGCATTATCACCGAGTCGTTGCGGACGGAAGGTCCACGCTTTTTGATGAGGGGTTGGACACCTGCCTGGCTCAGGCTCGCGTAAGTTTACACCAAGGCGCATGCGATCGGAGCGGTAGCTAACATTTGGTAGACCGAACACGGTGCTTACTTTCATCTTCATCGAGCAGCTGCAGAGGCTCGTAACCATGTCCAGAAAAACGGACTCGATAGAACCCGTTACAGCTAATATGCCTGCCCAGAAGATTTGATGCTTCAAGTGCAACTTGTACCAAATTCGCAGCAATATGGATGGCACAGGTGGTAGGGCCTCATGTGACATTCGGCCAATCTAGCCAGTCAAAGAACATTGTCTCGTCGAGCTGAAACAAGTCCTGTGAAGTGCTGGCATTGTTGATGGCTTCGAGGATTTGGTCGTCAGTCATGTCGAAGACGTACGGCTCCGGCGCAGCAGTTGTAGCTGGTGGAGCGTTGCTTTGAGAGTTGCCGTAGTCGACCTTTTTGGCATGCGGTGGAACGTGGCCCGAAGGCCCGGGCAACGGAGTGTGATTCTCCTCAGGTTGATCAAGGAGAGAGCTTTGCATGATCCGACGGATATGTCTGGCGAACAGCACGGACAAGCCTTTCCGGTGGCGGGGCGAGCTTCCAATTCTCTCCAACACCTGTGTCGTTTCTTCAATTAGCGCTTTGGCGTTTGGGGGCAGCATGGCACGGTTGCCCAGATTTGTGGCGCCGAGTGCCAGTGCGAAGGTCGCCGCAAATGATACCATGATGACGGTATTGTTCGGCATTGACTTCAGTCGATTCTCACCCTGCACGGCGGCACGCATGACGTTCGTGGCAGATGCGAGACCCGCAGCTCGGAAGAACTGTTTCACGTCGTTGGACGCAGTAGGGTGGTTGACAACATTGCAATACGTCGATAGCTTGGTGTGTGACACTAGGATTTCAACATATGGAGGCAGTTGACCTGTGGAGAGTGTCCCGCGTCAATACGTACACTGACGTCTGTATTTGATCTTGAGCCTTACCATCTCCTTGAGTGATCTGCCGTGACCAAACCGCGTACCACTGCTCGAAAAAGCGATCAATCTTATCCTTGAGACTGTCAAGATGTTAGCCGCAGACCGTCAACCTCCCAGGTGCACGCAGAACAAGGTCAGCCGCCACCGAGCTCGCACTTACAATCTTACGGCCGTCGAGCCGCCACTGATCCCTTGGCTCCCATCGCAGAACTCGCGAACACTTGTGATGAGGCCGACCTCGGATATGTAAGCAAGCACAATCAACCGATGGCAGACATCTGAGACATACTAAGTCGCGCCTCAGCACGGCAGCTGAGATGACACTACCATCCCACCGATCTGCGATATCTGAAATGTGCCAAGTATCGCAGCTTTCCACCAATGGTCCAATTGGCACGGCATACGGTCGTCCTCTAGCAAGGCAGACGCTGTGGAAGCAATGTCAGCGGATTGCGCTCAACAAAGAGCAAAAAGTCCAACATACCCTCGATCAAGGACAAATAATGCTAACCACACCCTCTCACGAGTTCTCAGCAGACGTCTACCCCAGACTGACAAGGGGTCGACGTGCGGGAATCCGTCCAGCTGCAGGGCTTTAGCGGAGTCAATGCACTCTGCTTTTGCCACTCGGTCCAAAAATCCCGCGGGACGGATGGTGGGGGATGGGACCACGATTTTATTGAGCGAAAGATCCAACGCCAATGCTAGGGCCATTGACAGATACGCGCATGTCTCGTCGTCGGCCCAGTGTTTGGCGGGAGTCATCCAGGGTATGTTGACCATGAACGCCAGGACAATCTCGACGGATCGATTCCTGTCAGAGATCACCTTTCGAGCAAGGATGTTCCTATGATTGGACAGTCGCTTCGACAGCGCCTCAGCTTTCGGTAGGAACAATGCAGATGCAGCCAGAATAGAGGTGAAGAGGAAGGCCGACCGCGAGCGTACAAACGCAGCTGTATGAAGGACCGGATCCAGGCCCCACCGCGTATGAGATAGTCGCTCGTAGAAGTATGCAAAAAGTGAATCAGCTTCCTCCTGGGTCACCAAACCTAGATTGATGGGATCGACATCGTGAGAGTTATCCAAGCGCGGGAGCAGAGATCCGAAGAACTGTTGCAGTTCCGCATCGTCATTTACAATTGCTTCGTTGGCGCCAGGATGAGGAATCACCCCTGCAGGAGATGTCGACATTGCAGTCGAGGGTGACTGGCCAGGCAACACCGACGCCATTGCGAGCAGTTGCAAAGGATTGTCGGCATTGTTAAGCGCGAGCTCGTCAGGCTTCTCACCATGGTCTGCAGGCGATACTTCATGACCGTTCTCTGTGGTTCCGGTGCTTTCAGCAGGGATCAATCCGACATGCTGCTGGGGAAAAGACTGCTGATGGCCTAGAGTCGGCGTGGCCGTACTGGACTGACGGCGGAGAAGAGGGCTTGCCTGGGGAGCGCTGATGAGTTGCCGAAGGTCGGCTTCAGTCTCCGCCGTTAGCCCTGTAGGGCAGTCTTTGGATCGCTTCAGAGCCTGTTCAACTTGATAGATTGCCTTCTCCAGACCCGACCTCTTGCTGAAGGGGGCCAATGTTAGCAGGTTCAGGATTGAGAACCTAGTTCGGCTTACTTCTTGACACCTTTGTATCTTCCGACGTGGTACTCTGGCGTGACGCACTGGAGACCGGCTTGCTGGCATTTCCGGCACACGGCTGCACCTACATCACGCGTGCACCGCACCTTTGACCGGCGACATTCTAAGCATGCAGCCTGCTTCGCTTGTGCGGAAGCCGCCGTAACATCGTGCACTGAAGAGGAGCTCGAACTCATGCCTCGACAAGCAACATGGTTGGGCCACGCGCAGGCTCAGCACGAGCTGAATTTTTCGCCAAGTCACAAACCGTTCGGCGACGCGTCGATGGTGCTCGGAGGAACGCGCATCGATCAGGTTGGTGACTCCCGTGGCTCCGGCGGGTTGAGCTCCTACAGCGACGATGAGGTGTTGGGCGTTGATGATGGGGCTCGAATTCTGATAACAGAGGACCAACTGATTATGGTGTCAAAGCAGCGAAGGTGACGAGTTCACCGATGACTAAGCATCCACAGAGCGTCCCCACGAACTCCGCAAATTCCCGACGAGGCTGCAGCGCTAGAGGCAAGGCTGAGCCGGGAAAAGTTCGCAGTGAAACTTCCAGCAGTTCCTCTTAAGACCCACGACTATCAACGTCTACTCTTCATATTTTCTCAGGGCCACAACCCACCGGTCGCCTGCCATCGCAGATTAGAAGATGATGGGACCAGCCGTCGCTGAGCTACTGTCTACTGGGTCGGCAATACTTGTCCTAGATCCCCCTTCTTCCGCCATAGCTTGCTTATCTTGGGTATCCCTGGCTCCACGACAGAGAGTTCCCCTACCGTTCGCTGTCAATGCAAATGCCATCTTCAGCTTCAATTGCCGGATGGGCCGCGCTTGAATTCTTCCCCACTTGTGGCCTGAGGTTTCGCCTTCATGATAAGAGACGCAGCTGAAAGACTCACAATGACAAAGCGGCACAGGATAGTTGAACCTCGACCACTGTTGCCACCTACATAGCTTCAACGCCCTCGGTCCAAGTGAGTGCTCTGGTTCGTGTTCGCAAAAGTCCCGCCTTGGGGATACTGTGGACAAGGATTGTATCATATCGAGATTGTCGATGCTGATGCCGAGCCAACGCTGGCGCAAAGACCGATGTACAGCGACGCCAAGCCATGCGTCCAACAGGCAAACAAGCCATGACCCATGCTGCACGCACCATGTACCGTGGGCCGTATACCGTATCCCGCACACCTGCTTGGATAGTGTTGGGAAAGCGATGGTTGGTCCCTTCCTCGACCTTCTGACGCCCGTGTGCGGGAGACACTCGGGGTGAGCCGCGATCGTTCCGCCGACATTTGCGAAAATGAGACTGAGCGTAAACTTGCACCTCGACATTCATCATTCCGGCTCCGACCGGACGTTCAGTGCCAGAGCGGCGGACACAGGGTGCAAGGCGGCCGGGTCCGCCTGTCGGTGGACGTGCACGTGGATGTGGACGTGTGAGCTGGGAAAGCGCACTGAATTTGATCCCGGATAGCAAAATGCGTGACTGGGCTGGGCTGGGCTGGGCTGGGCTGTCTGGGCTGGGCCTGGATGGCCTGCCCTCTACGAAGACCGTGTATCATGCTCTATATGCCATGTAAATACATATCCTTGCAGGTCAAGTCAGTGCAGGCCTGTCCCAGGCGGCTAGCCCACCGGCTGCTTCACTATAGTAGTGCGTTATGGTACATGTCCAAAATGTGTGCTGTGTTAATTAGCTGTTCAAGAGCCATGTAGGAAGGGAGGAAAGTTCTGCCAACAACCAAGCTACATACCCGGCCCACGCAACATACGTCCCAGGCAGGAACTACGACCCTTGAAGCTAACGCGCCGAGTACGTAGCACATCGTACGGTCAGTACGGAGAACATTCTGCGTAAGTAAATAGGTACTTGGCTCCATTATTGTAGCTCACCTCCGCTGTCATGCAGGAGCGTCACGCGCGGACAAGCTTTGATAACTGTATCCCGGCACACGAACGTGAGGCTTTCGCGCGACACACCTAGGCCTTTGCCGAGCAGGATCACTGCAGTCCGTGCAGTAGTGATAACGACGACGCTCTATCATTCTACGGTGGAAGGCGCGGGAGCCGGGAGTTACTACTGTACACAGAACGAGTTACGGAGTGGGTAATCTTAGATCATACGTCGATCGGGTGTCGATCCCTTCACTCCTTCGACATTGAAGACACCGAGCACCCCGATCGACGCGGACCACGCCATGTTCTGTGGGTAGTGGGCCATATAGTACGCCGTACACCGTACACATTTTATATGTAATATGGTATGATCACACAAAGTATTTGGGTCCGGGGTTCAGGAAGGACGGGAGCGTGGCCGCGCGGTCCTGCTCGTACCACGCCCGAAATCTGCCGATCGCGCTATGCGTGTACCATACACCATGCACCGTGTACTGAGTACTTGGTCCGGACGGACCTCCGGAGACTTTTGTTTCAAGCAGACTTGGAGACTAGCGTAGATCATCACCTGTGTATACGTACATGGCCGGGGCCTGCCTGGGTTAGGTCTGCATCAAAGAGATCGTCTAGTCCAGAGTCCGAGTCCACCTGTACGTACAATACTGTACATTAGATGCGGTGTAGGCGTCGCTCCTTGAAAG